TTGCATCATCATTACTGAATGTATATATTATGGCGGACTTTGTTGTCTTAACATCCATTAACCGCCGTCTGGCTCGCACAACACTTACTGCTATACATATGAAGAGATTGTTTTACACATTTCAGCATTATTATGGGTCCTAAGACATCAGAGAGAGCCCAAAAGACACAGGTTGCTGCCAGAATCACAAAATACCTTACCACTTTACAGTTTCATATCGATTACAAACTGGCAGGTCCATTTGAATACAGCTTTACTTTGATGGAAATAGAGTATTAAAGGTGAGATTAACCAGACTCACCAACAGTAAAAATATTCTGAGCTTTGATAAACATTAACAAGACCTAAAGTTTAGAGCGTTGTCCCTTGATGTAGTTAGCATCCAGTTAGCATCTACCGTCGTTGGGTTGTCCTCGTGTCTGGAATGTTAAAAGTACTAATCCAATTTTCTTTGATTCTAAAAGATGACACATCCCACTGTTGTGTTCTAGCGCCTTACCCATGAGTAGTTCAAGGAGATTTTCAGGTCAAGGTTACTTATTTGTTACTGAATAGTTCCACCGAATGAACTGAATCTACAGCGGGAGCATGTTTACCGTTGTCTGGTGTTATTTGGGCTAGCGCGCTTCTATTTATCTTGGGAACAACGAAACACTTCAGAACAACTTTAAGGCAAATATTCAGGAAGGGTTTCTTTGGGAGAGGGCTACGCTGTCTTTACAGCTTATTAATTGTCCAAAAAAATTACAAAACGTGTTGTGAAACAAAGCTAACGTGCCAGTGTGCAGTCACAGAGCGACATAAAATGTTCCATTGCAATTTTGGTTGTGCACCTAATTGTCTCTTTGCAAAATTACAGGCGAGGGAAACATGGATTTATTTTGTTTATTGCAACGCAGGAGCCAACGTGTTATTGCTCTGTGGTCTCACGGGCTATACTTGTTAAAACCATTACCACTGCAGCTCCAAGTGACACATTTTATTACTATTTTTTCCCCTTCCATTTTGACACATAAATTATAGTGTGACTCCTGAAAAAAAACACAACAAAAATCCCTTACCTCAGTGACCTGACACTGACCTGCCTCTCAAGTAGAAAACCACTTGTTTAAAATCGTCTTTCCGTGATTGTCATAGTATAAAACTAGTTAATGCAAACGTAGTGATTTCTCCAAAGAGTTGAAGGAAGATTGAAAGCGTTTACTCTGCCGCGGTAGTCCTCTTCTTCTTGCCCCGGGGTTGTCACAGGAACTGGGACACCATCCCAGTGTGTGAGTTGTGGTTGCATGTGATTGCCCCCGAGCCACAGAACTTGAATACGTGCATGTGTGTGTGTGTGTGTGTGTGTACTGACAAAAACACACACTGACCTCAGTCACATGGAAAGTCCCACTCAGTCTTGGTACGCTGCAGAGGCAGGATTTTCCAGTTTAATTACGCCTTGGGAGTGTAATTTCGCATTGACTTGTGGGTTGCTTGAAATTGCTCCTCTGTCTTGTTAAAATTTCCTCTCGTTCACATGACTCGGTTAGTTCGCCCAATACATCATCGCGCCTTGTTATAATGTGGAATTATAGTGTTAAGGCATCACTTAAGCTGGATCGGCCTCGCTGTGGAAGTGAGTCTAATTATTGGAAAAGTATTTTCTGCTCTTGCTGTTCCCTGACACAGTTCACTGCTGCGATGCTCAAGGATGGCTCTGGAAATACTGTAATTAAAAGATGATTCAGCATATCGTCTCATGCCACCTTGCACGCTGGTGTTTTGCGTTGCTTGGATTCTAAAGCTTTTCAAATAGGTTCTTTAAACTTAGAGGTACCAATTAAGACACATTATTCTTTACAACTTGGCTGCAGTGCTAATGGCTTGCAATTATGGTTTACACGCTTTTTTCATTTCATTTATCTTTAGCTCACAGTTAACGTTTTAGCTTAGCATGACACTAAATATACTTATATGGTCAAGTTAGCAAAAAATACATCCGCAAGGAAGTCCTCTAAACCCAATGTTTGTTTTGTTTAGTCATTTTTCTCTGCATGTTAGACAGCAATGTGTCGGCTGAATTAATGACTTCCTCTCCTACCATGAGCACTAAATACACTTATGAAATCCTAACCCTCTGAGAAAAAGAGCAAAATGGTTATTTCGCACAGTGAAGGCCGTGCAATTGATGAGTAAGACTGGTTTAAACCATCATCTAGTTGGCGAAGTCGTCTGAAAAAACTGTGGATGCCGTATGTCAGCTATGAAGATGATTGCTACGCTTAATAATCATATACTCAGTGGTATGTTATAATGTCAGTTGTAAAATCAAAGCCAGCTGGAGATGTGGAAAGACTCCTTGTGGATATAGGAGAGGGTCAACAGTGCTGTCAGCCATTGGCAAACATTGGAGATTAGCCTGTAAATCTTTCTTTATAAGGTGCTGCCATCCATTTGTGTTGGATATTTACCGTTGTAGCCACTGTGTATGAAGAGAAATGCTAATCCTCGTCTGTCAAATTATTATTAACTTTGGTCCCATTGCCGAAACAGATGTAGTGCTGTGTCTGATTGGGATAGGAGCTGGTTTTACCTCAGAGATGTTGCTTAACATTGGACGCAGTGTTTTCCACTCATAACAAACTAGTTAGGACGTTCAGAAAGGTGTGGAAGTGACTGCTAAGACTTTCCTTCCAGGATGTCGGCCAATTTTAGACCTCATATCTCACATGTTCCAGTCGGGATGGATTGCAGTTTACACCTGGCATCAAAAGTAGTCTCAAGTGCACATTGAGTGACCACTTGTGGTGAGATTCTGCTTTGCATTCCAGTTTTTATGTGTGAAACTAACTGCTGCTCACCAGAAAAAGAAAAAACACAAGTTTGTGCAGCTGAAGGGGAGCATTTAAGTGGCATTTTGCTACAACCACTTAGGAGTCCAACTCATTTGACTCTGTGTTTTGGAGGTTTGTGGTGCTGTATGCAGAGTTGATCCAGCTTGTTACAAATGTCAGAGCTGAATTCAAACTCATGTCTCTAAACGTAGTCTGTTTTTAATGCTTTCATGTCTTCTTTTTTTTTTTTTTTTGTAGAGCTGTGCGCGCATGATCAAACCACCAAAGACATTTACTTGTTAAGTTGAATTTTTACAGAGGGTTCATCCAGTGTATTGTATTATTTGACCTAGATGTGTCTAATAAGCAGGAGGAAACGGAGTCAGCATCTAAACGAATGCAGTCAAGGCACCAAAGTGAATTTTGCTTCAGGCCGTGCAGTTAAAAGCCCGTTTTTTAAGACTCTCCTCCAACACTAAAGTAGTAAAAGCTGCCTTCTGCCTACATGTCATCACGAGGGTAGAAAAACCGCAGCCAGTCAGACTGAGGTTTGTAGGTTATGAGAGTGAGCATTTGGTACTTTGCAGGATTGTTGCCCTGGTTAGATTTGCAGCGGGCTTGTTAATTAGTCACCTTTTGGCTCCCGGTGGAATTTTCCTCTAATGATTCCCTAATGACAAACACACATACAAACACAAGTTTGAACCATACAGCAGCCAACGGAAATTGTTTTTTTTGTCTTTCATATCGCTTATTCGGTATTAAGCTTTAGGATTTTGACATACTGTATGGTTCTGAAACTGTATTTTGGGATCCAAACAGTGAAGGAAAAGCTTCCACAGAGATAAATGAAGCTGAGAAATTAGACTAAGACGGGAAACTGTCTCCTAAGAGCAGGTGTTGAAATGAAATAATAAATGATAAATTGTGTGCATGTGTCATGGTCAAAAGGACAGCATGCTCCAAATAGGTACACATTTTTAAATAACATCGCCCTCAGCTGTAGCACCTCTTGTTGATGTCTTCACCGCTGTTTTATTTTACAAACGAGAGCCGAGTCGGACAAAAAAAAAAAAAAACGGGCTGTTTCTCGACTAAAGCTGGGAACGCAGCACAGGATTTAAGGCCAACAGATTTGGCTGTGGGGTTTTGCTTTCAAAGACACGTTGTGTGTTTTGGATTTGTCTGCGAAAATCAGGGTAGGTCACCTTGGAAAATGTGCAGACTTGATTTTGTAGAGTGCAGGGGTTTAGCGTCTGACCAGTTAAAGCTGTCGTCGTTCATACAGCATGTTGGATGTCTCTAGCAGCAATCGGGGTGTTGCTGTCGCTAAAAAGGGGCTTGCAGCACAGAGTCGGGTGCCACTGTTGAAGTTTGGGGTTTGGTCCTTTGTTGGAATGCAATCAGTGAGACACTAGTTTTGTTTTGCTTCTTACATCATTTCATCTCTTAAGAAATCAGTCCAAGGCAGAAATGTAGCTTCATTAAACAGGATTAGTCAATGCAATCAAAGACCGCATAGCATCATAGCCACAAATTCTGTTGCTTGAAGGTCTCTAGTTTGACTTTTGTTTCCATTCATGTCAGCAGAAAAGAATCTTGAGGAACTACTTCTGCTCGTCTCGAATCACAGACACGTATCCTTCACATCCATTACAAGTGCACTCACACACAGGCGATGAGTTATGCTTAAGTTGTTCGCGTTGCGTAAACGAGCTGTGGAATCACTTGAGGCAAGGTGCGGCCGCTCCAGAGGCGCGTTGACACAGCTGTGGCCACATCTGAGATGAGTGGTGGAAACGCACAGGATTTTAGTCTTGTTTTGCCTACACTTGGCTAATACACACTCTGGGGAAAGCATGCAGTATGTGAGCGGAATAACATCCACACACTCAGTCGCACAGAAGACACGCCTGAAAAAATGCTTGCAGCCTGCCAGAAAACTCTCAAACTCTCAAAGGAGTGGTCCCGCTTCAACACAGAGGCCAGTGAACCGCCTCACTGATGGCTGTCTTGTTTTAATTTTTGTCATGTTGTTAATATCTCTGGTCGACTGGTTTATCTGCATCGTGAAAACAAACATTGCCCCATTTAGCTTTTTGTTTTTGCAGTGGAACATTAAAAATTTATGCTTTTAGTTTTGGCACAACACCTAAACTTTTCCCTTTTTTTATTTTCTCTCAGGTTTGTGTTCCAGAACATCTACATCTCAGCCTCAACAGAACCCCTTTATCGTGTGGTTTAAATGCGGGACAACATCACCGACCTGCAGACCTCCTTTACCATCTTCCTGCCACCATGTCCTAGCCGTCAGTAGCGCACCTCCCTTCCTCGACCATCTTGCCCCTTAAACCCTACTCCTTCTTTCCATCTTCCTTTCCCTCACCATCCCCCTTCTCCTCTCCCGATGTGGTGATTTCCGGTCATAGCACCAGCGGCGCCCCTTCTGGCGTGATGAGCAGCCTGCACCAGCAGCATCATGGCAGCACAGGCTCAGAGCGAGACCTTCACTCTGCTGCCTCTTCTGTTAGCCTCCCTTCAGTTAGAAAGACCCCCAAGAAACGGCGCCTGTCCCTCCACTCGCTCTTCGGACGACGCCGCCGGCCCGACCGCGACCCCAAACGCAAGTCGAGGCCTCTGCAGGCCAGCGCCGGAGTGGACGGCATCGTCAGCATTGAAAGCGTGCAGTCAGAGACTTTCCATGACAAAACTTCAACCAACTCTCCGTTGGACGTAGCGTCGACTTCATCGGGCCCGGAGTCTTCATCAGAGCTGCTGGAGTGCCCACTGTGCCTACTGCGCCACACACGCGAGCGCTTCCCCGACATCATGACCTGTCACCACCGCTCCTGCGCCGACTGCCTGCGACAGTACCTGCGCATCGAGATCTCCGAGTCCCGCGTCAACATCAGCTGCCCCGAGTGCTCGGAGCGCTTCAATCCCCACGACATCCGCATGATCCTGGGAGACCGAGTCCTCATGGAGAAGTACGAGGAGTTCATGCTGAGGAGGTGGCTGGTGGCTGAGCCTGACTGCCGCTGGTGCCCTGCCCCTGACTGCGGGTAAGAACAAGAGCTGAGGGAATATAGAGCAAATGGTGCGATTAACACATTAGGACATCTTGCTCTTTACAGAAAATATGACACACAAAGTGGAAGCTTGGCAGATGAAGGTGACATGATGCTTTAGGAAGGCTTTTAGACAAATGACACAAACATTTTTGCAGGCAAATGTAAGTTAAGGGTGGGAAGGAGTTTTGTTATAAGCACGTGCAAATTGATTGAGACGATATCAGCCAGTTTGCAACATTTCTCCGACTTCAGACTGAAATATGTCAATATATTGATTTCAGTTACCTCGGGTGTGCTTGATGCTCTGAGCTGCTGATAAAACCGACACACTCCCCAAAATAACAGAGTAAGGAGCTACGTCAAGGAGGCTTCAAAGCAGTGATCTGGCCTTGTGACGCTGTCCCGGCTTCTGCATTGATGCCCGAGATAAAAATAGCTCATAGCAGTAATAGACCCGTTTATTCTGTCAGTCTAATGAGTCAGCCGAAAAAGATGAGAGCATCAAGTGTACGGTTACACCTATTGTTGTCAAGAGTGCGGTATTATTGGAACGGTCACGGCCTGTAAATACACACAGCAGTATAATTAACACTAAAAGGTGGTTCAGGCTCTGTATGGATAATATTCAAACTGACACATATTTGTTGTGTACATGTTTAGGGCCAGGCTGGTCGCCCTTCATCATGCTAGTATACAGAGAATCAACATCTACAGTGATAAATAGAATTGTCATCTGAATAATTCTGTCATAATATAGTATTTTATTAACTTTAAAGCACTTTTAAAACAAAATTACAAAGTGATTAGGACCGGTGTTATGTTTTGCAAGAGAGAGAGAAAAGAGAAGAGAGAAAGAAGAAGAAAGAGAGAAAAGACAAAGGCTAAAAGAAGAGAAAGAAGAAGAAAAAGAGAGAAAAGAAGAAGAAAGAGAGGAAAAAGCGGAACATTTTCTTAATGGTTTAGTTTAATTATGTTCCTGATGCTTTAATATTGAAGCACAACCTAGTTTATTTATTTCAAAACAGTCTTTAGATATTACAGTATTTGATCATGCCATGCTGCAAGATTTTTAATTTTTTTTCCCCCCCCAAGAATTATTATCATTTAATATTTTTCCCCCGACAGTTAGTGTTTAACCTCTGCTGCAAGATCTTCACCATATTTTACAGAATATCTTAGAGATTGCAAGTAAAGTTTCAAGACAGTTTGTGCACAAAATACAAAAGTAGTTTAATAGCAAATCTGCAACTGCCTGTGTGCACGTTCCCAAGGGAGGATAATTAAGGATTACCAGGTAAACAGTATAAAAAACTAATTACTTAAAGTCCAGAACTGTTTTTACGGCACAGAATAAATTAGTAAAGTAAGTAAGAAATTAAAATGAAAAAAAAAAACGACTGATTAAATATGTGAAATATTTGTTTGGGGTCAGATCAAGTCCTGCAAACCTCCTTTAAGCACTCGATAAACATATTTTATTAAACCTCTGTTGTTTTTCTCTCTTGGAAAGTCATTCTTTCCCTCTCACATGGAGGTGACGGTGCAGGGTGGAGGTCAGGTCAGGGTCTGATGTGTTTATAGCTACCAGGGATTCAACAGTTTGCTCACAGGGGCCTGAGCTGCGTCTAAACGGGCTTTTTCAGTCAACCTGCTTCACCTGCTACTCAAAGCGCCGTTAGGCCGTGACTACCACGGCGCACACGGTGTGCTGCGTATCTACACTCGCAGCAGTCTGGGTTTCTTTGCCACAGGTGCTGTCTGGACCGTGTTAGAGAACAATATTTATGTATTCGCAGAGTTTTGCTTCAGCCGGCTGTGCTCGCTGTTGTCATCGTTAGCTCATTTTTGAGTGATCGCTGAATCCAGGAATGGTTTTAGCCTTCGCTCTCTCTCATGGCTTTGTTACTTCAACACTGCTGACCCTTGTCTGCTGGAATAATGGCTCTTTCATGAGTTTGTTGCAACTCCTCTTGCTCTCAACCTCCAAGCAGCTCAGCTCTGGCTCACTGCCACGCTCTCCACCAGTTAATGCTCTCACTCTTCATTGTTGTGCTTGCAAGGTTTTGGGGGCTTTGTTGGTCAGCTCAGCGGTTAGATTTGTCAAATATAAGAATCCTCTTTATGTGCCTCTTGAATAAATAAATCATCTTTACGCGGGGTAGAGTTTGACTGACTTCACAGTGGAGTCATATATAGTTGTGTTTTGGAGTTTAAACCTTATTTGATCAGTGCTGTTTGTCTGTGGACTGCCAATATACACGATACCAATATATTTTTGAGAGTAAACAGAGTAGGAGGTAAAACTAAACAAGAATTACTGTAAGTTGTTAAACTAAAATGTATGTGGGAAAGTACAGGCTAATATTAATGCCAAAAAGTCCATTTGGAAATCCAGTTTACAACCTCTACACAATATACCATCAGTTCGCTTCACCAAGGTGTTAGTGGAGACTGTCTGCAAACTGTCTAGACTGAATGTTTTATTAGATGCGAGTTCACATAGAAGCTCTGCCCCCGGACGGTCAAACGTCGGCTATGAGGGCGGATGGTGTGTTTCTAAAAACTTGAATCCCTCCACAACATATGGTGAATCTTTATTTGTAATCAAATCCTTTTATTACTTCACTCTCACTTTGTTTTTTAAGTTTTACTTTTAAATTCAATACTTCTTCCTGAGAAGGAGGAAGCCTTGACTCGGAGGAAAATCAGGGGAAATCCAGAGGAAATTTTAACAACAATTATGCAAATTCTGGCTTTAGATATGTGTAATCTCACTGCTTTACATGAAACAGCCTGGAGACCTGTTTAAATATGTTCAAGTGAACAAGGGAAGGATTTTTTTTAGCATGAAAAACTGATTGAGCCCTTCACTTGTTACTTCTTTTAAGAAAATGTGCTATTATTTGCCAGATTTATTAATTAGATATTGCCTATTTTTGTCTCAATAAATGGTATAACCCCTTTTTTTTACTATATTTTAATTCCACATGAGCCGCTGTTGACATTTTGCTCCACTCCATTTCGTACTGTGATCACTGTTGCTTCCCTGCTATCAGCTGATGTTAGCATGTCTATTGGATTAAATACTTATCTCATTTTAACCAAGATCCTGACAAAGCAAACAGCTGTGTGTGTATCAGCCAGCAGCCGAACCGTGTACATCAGCTGATGCCTTAGCTTAAATATCTTTCAGGGAATTTGTTGTTGCTGAACAGAATAAGCAGCTTGTCTTTCTGTAGGATTTGCTCTACAGAATCACATTTATAAAAACCGTTGTGTGTGTTCAGCGTCTGAGTGGATTAAGCGAGGGTTTCCACGCGAGCTTTCAGACTGACCTTTATGTTAAACACACGTCCGTCTAAAGCGCGGTTACACATTGTCCAGTTTATGCACCGGAGTGTTTGTTTTTCTTATCATGCGTTCATAATGTTCCTGTTATAACTATGATGTGAGGCGGCTGCTGAAATCTCCGTGTTTAACTGAAGCTGTCATACTTTGAGTCGTGTATAAGTGTTCCTTTGAAAAACATACTTATTAGTGGCACAAGTAGGTTTGTGAGTCAGCAAGCGCTGGACACAGTTGCGACCATTGGGATTGTTATTTTCACAGACAGGAAAGAACTTTATTTGAGGCAGTATATGTGTCTGCATATAAATGGCTGCTGCAACTACAGATTTTTATGGTGCCAGTTTGTCAAGTTGTATTAGATTTGCACATTTATGACAGAACAGTTGTTGGACTTTGCTTTGGGTCAGGCGGCTCTCAAATAGGCCATTGTAGTGACTGATGGGGGGCCACTTTCAGGATTTACTGTTCCAGTACTCGAGGTCTCAAGGTGTTGGGTTCCTGAAGATGTCAACAGCAGCAATGTGTACTCTATAGAAGTCCTCTTATTAGAAGTTGCACCTCAGTTTTACCCGCTCCAGCTTTGCACTCTTGCCCTGCTGACCCCTAGTGTTGGCCTAAACTACTACATCCATGCTCTCTGACTGACAGCCACTAATCACCATTTTGACCGTGTTTTTCCTTCTCGCAGTTACGCAGTCATTGCGTTCGGCTGTGCCAGCTGCCCAAAGATCACCTGTGGGCGTGAGGGCTGCGGGACAGAGTTCTGCTATCACTGCAAACAGCTGTGGCATCCAAACCAGACGTGCGACACGGCACGGCAGCAGAGGGCCCAGAACCTCCGGCTGAGGAGTTTCAGGTCGTCCTCCCTCAGCTACAGCCAAGAGAGCGGCGCAGCGGGTAAGATGCTGATGGATGCTCGCTCGCATGCAGGACTAACCTGACCTGTTCTTTGGTATTTTCACCTTCAGCACACCTGTCACCTTTTTAACCACACCATACCACACATACATGAATCCACAGTGTACAACATGCCTGATAAAATCTTAAATGTTGATAAGAAATACGTGTGTGTCTAAGTATTTCTCTTCAATCTATCTGCACTAGGTGATGACATCAAGCCGTGCCCTCGCTGTGCTGCCTACATCATCAAGATGAATGATGGGAGCTGTAATCATATGACCTGTGCCGTCTGCGGCTGTGAGTTCTGTTGGCTCTGCATGAAGGAGATCTCTGACCTTCACTACTTAAGGTGAGACAAACACACAGCCGAGCTGGCGGCTTATCTTCGCCCAGGTGTGTCTCCTTTCTTGCGTTCAGTTTCACCTCCTTAAGCTTTCATTTTGACACTTTCTCCCAAATGAATCGTTGCTTTAGTTTCCAGTAACAATTTGCATTTTAGTTTCCCAGCATTCAGTGTTGACATAGTGTCACGGTCACATAAAAACATAAATATCAGTGCGTGTGAGGTGTCAGTTGTCTCACCTGTGCACTCAGAAGGAAAATGCTGTAGTCAACGATCTACTAGTTTCGGGACCGTTTTGTGTTTTTAGGTTTCAGTAGTTTTAGTAACAATGACATCATTTCCTGTCCTCTCAGTCCGTCAGGCTGCACCTTCTGGGGGAAGAAACCCTGGAGCAGAAAGAAGAAGATTCTGTGGCAGCTTGGCACGTTGGTGGGTGCGCCGGTGGGCATTGCCCTCATTGCTGGCATAGCCATCCCCGCTATGATCATTGGCATCCCAGTCTATGTGGGCAGAAAGGTGAGAGCTTCCATCAGTCAACTGAGGAAAACTATGTTTTAGTCGAGGCCAAAACCACCAGTTTGTTCAGACAGATGGGAGAAGTGGTAGTGGCACGAATGTAGAGATGGTCATTCATGCAGCTGAAGATTAGAACACGGGCTGTATGTTGCATCTGTTGTGGTGAAGTTACAACATTGCAGCATCATGCCGACTTATCTATGTTGCACAACAAACAAACAAACAACTTCTTCTTAACCCTCTAAACCCGAAGCAATTTCTAGATGTTGTTTTGCTCCTGTCACATTTTGACTTGTTTTCCACTGAAAGGTAAAGTTCTGCACCTCTGTGGGAACAACGCAATCATGTCTACAAGTAGAGAGAACTCAAAAATGTTTGTTATAATGCCCTACATTTAAAGGTGAGCCTCTAATCTGTTATTTATTTTACAAAAGTTGAAAATACCTGGAATTGACATGCAAAACATTTTGTACCAATACTGGGGGGGAGTGACATGTATATTTATTTTCCTTCCATACTTGTCAGTTTTTCCCCAGTTTAGCTCAATAGCTTCCTAGTTGTGTGAAGGAGCACTAAATTTCACATTTTTTCATAGAATCTGGTTTGTGAAAATGGTTTTATTTTGGCCATTTTTTAAAGAAGACATGTAGAATGAAGTGATTTTGATGAAATATCACGATATTAAGCTTAGATTAGTAGATTAGCCATAAGTAGTAAAGAATAAATGAGTTTTTCAGGGGCCAAAAGTTGGAAATCTGACAATTCTTTTGGATCTGTTAGTTGCTGTGATTTTACTGATTATTTTATTATCTTTTAAAGATAACATTCCTTTCTAACCCGCTGGTGGCTTTTGGGGTTCAGAGGGAAAGACCTAACTACAGTGTAGTGTGTAATATACATGTTTATCATCTAAAAACAATATTCACCTTTAAAACAGGTCTGTAAGAAATCCAGTTTGTTATGAGGTCAGGTGTCAGTTTTGAGACACATTTAAAAAATAAAAAATTGTCCAAAATGACTTCCTGTGAGCTATGATTGTACTGCACAGCACACAGAATCATCATGTAAATGTGATCAAGGAATCTCTTCAGTTAATCCTGTTCTACCATGTGTCTCATCAGATCCATAACCGCTACGAAGGCAAGGACATCTCCAAGCACAAGAGAAACTTGGTGATAGCTGGAGGTGTGACGCTCTCTGTGATTGTGTCGCCTGTGGTCGCTGCAGTCACCGTCGGTACGAAAGAATAGTTTTTCTCTCCTTTTTTTCTCTCTTTGCTGCACAATCTGTCTCTGTGTTTCAGACATTTAAAAGGTTTAGTATAAGGACAGTACCCTGTAAACATGATTGGGTTAAACATTTGTCACGTGCAATTCTTGTCTCTCAAAGTGTCCTGTATTTTTTGGTTCTTCAATCCAGTAAAGATGTAAATACAAAGTTCTTCTGTTTGGATAAGATTTGGTTTTATATTTAGAACTTTTATGGTGTTTTGTAGGTATCGGTGTTCCCATCATGCTTGCTTACGTCTACGGAGTTGTTCCGATCTCCCTGTGCCGCAGCGGAGGTTGTGGAGTCTCTGCTGGGAATGGCAAAGGGGTGCGAATCGAGTTTGATGACGAAAATGACAACATAGGGAGTGGGGCAGCAGCCACAGGTGAGAATCTCTAACCACTGGAAGAAATGAAAAACATTTCAACCACTCACCGAATGCCACCTGCTAAAATCCAAGCTGCAGAACTACAAGTCAAATAGGCAGAACAGATTATGATCCGTAGCAGAAATGTCAGTGAACTTATTCACCTCCTTTGAACTCTTCTTGCTTGTATTTCCGTCTTCGTCTGCTTTGCTTCCCGCCACTTTAGTAGTCTCATTATTTGACGCTCATGTTTTTGTCAAGCCTTTCATCTATCCACTCAACAGGATTAAAAGAATGACAGTCAACCTGATTTACTTCTATTTCCTAAACATTTACTCTCCCTTCAAACACGCTGTATTCTTATTATAACCACCATGATACTCTGTGTGCACGTGTAACTACACCTGCCAGTGCCTTTGTGTTTACATGCTATTGTTTGCCCCGTGAGGTGCCACTACACTCGACAGCAGACTCAGACAGCTATTTGAGGTGTGTGATGTTGTGAAATGACTGGCGCAGCGTCAGTGGCTTTTCTGTCAGACTGGCGGCTGTGTGAGGTCGAGCTCGTCTTGCTTTCCCACGAGGCGTGGAGGGAGGGATTGTATTTCTCACAGCTTCTGTCAACACTGAGGAAGATAATTAAGACTGTAAATGACAGCAAGGACTTTAACCTTTCCAGGAACAAAAGGTGTGAGATGTGATGACACTTTTTCACACCTCAGAATTCATGAAATGCTATTCAAGGTTACTTTCCAAAGTCATTGATATCACTTTATACCAATCTAAAAAAAAGTCATGGTTCTGGCCTCTCTTTTTCTTTCTGTACAATCCATATTTCTCTCTTCATCCTTTGTGCTCCTATTTCTAGCTCTACCAGCAGCTGTTGGGGTCAACCGATATGTTCCCCACTCTGTTCGTTTTAGCTCAACTGTGTAGTTCATCATCATCCTCTGTTGAATTATTTTCAAATCATTCTGTAAATGAATAAAATTGAATTCTCTGTATCTGTTCTTCTGCTCAGACACGACCTCTGTGGCAGAGACTCGGCTCAACAACCCCAGCCTCGGAGACGGAGCGAGCGTGGGCGGTCTGACGGGCCTGAGCCTCAGCGTCAGCGGGAGCCACATGGAGCGCTGCGGCGTGAGTTCGGCTCAGCGGGACAACATGAGCGACAACGCCAGCACCACGGCCCTCGCTGGGACCAGCATCACTGGCAGCCTGTCTGGCAGCTGCTACAACCGGTAATGAACTGGACCTATAAACCAAGTCATGGCCAGAAAACTGTTCTGAATAACTAATTAACACGTATACAATTTGTGCAAATGGCGCTATGTGACTGCCGAGTAGTGTCTGTTTTACACGTCCTGAATGGAGTGTGTTTGTGAATTTGTACCCCTCACATGCAGTTGATTAATCTGAACAAGAAAGAGGATAAGCAAATCCTGCGTGCTGCTGATCCTTGCTACTCCATTTATTAACAGTGCTCCACTATGACACCATTAATAGTATTTCTCACACTCTTTCTGATCCAATGTTCCTGTCAGCAGGACTTTAAAGGGTACAAGGAATGTGTCGTAAATGGTTTTAGTACTTGGATAGTTTTCTTTTACTATCTGCCCTTGCTTTCCTCTATATAGTGACCATTTTGTGTGATTAATTGTTTTTTTCAGGATGGAAGTGCAGGCTGATGTCCAGAAGGAACGCTGTAGTCTGAGCGGGGAGTCGGCCACCGTCAGTCTGGGCACAATAAGTGACAACGCGAGCACAAAAGCCATGGCAGGATCCATCCTCAATGCCTACATGCCTCTTGAAAGGTCAGTAATCAGAGTACACGCATCCTGCTTGTTGCAGTAGCAAGCTGCTGACCTGTTTTTAGTCTTTGAAAAAAACCTCTGTCCCAGTTTTGTTGTGGCTTTTGTCAGATGTCCTGCAGTCAAAATGCTTAAATGCTGTTTGTTTAGTTATCAAATCAAGGTTAATAAATATCTATGTAGATGTACATAAATACCCCAAATTAAAGGACTAACACTGAAATTATCTGTGGTTTTTTGTCACCTAAGTTAAATTTGAGGCCTGTTATTTTGCAGAGACAACAGTCTGGAGGTGCAGGTAGACGTGGAGTCCAAACAGGAGAAGGTGAGACACGGCAGCGCCAGCAGCAGCCTGGATGAAGCCAGCTGTAGCAGCAGCACCGCCGGCCTCAAAGGAGCCAGCGGTGGCACCTGCTCATGTCCCTCCACCTGCTGCTGTGCTCACCACAACAACCACTGCTGCCCCTCATCGCCTTGGTCAAAGGACCCATCCACTTCGGGGGGCAAAAAGAGCAAAGGCAAGCTTTGGAAACGAGCGAGCAGCAGCAAGGGAGACGCAAAAAATAGCGAAACACAAGGCGATGTGGATGCTCAGCTCCTGGAGCAGCGCAGCACCAACTCCTCCGAGTTCGATTCACCGTCCCTGAGCGGCAGCCTTCCCTCGGTGGCCGACTCGCACTGTAGCCACTTTTCATCCGAGCTCAGCTGTTCCGACCCTGAAACCTCAAGACCGGCTCAAGCAGCCTGCTCTTCCCTGATGGACCCCCACCCTCTTCACACCACCAGCACCTTCAACGATGTCACCATCGCGCCCATGCCCGAGGTGGAGAACGACCGCCTGGAGCATTTCCCACCCCAGAGCAGCCACGCAGCCTTCACCCACCGCCTGCTGTCTTCGTCGCCCCCTGCTTCACCAGAAGAGGGAAGTAGTGGGACATTTCTATACATCAGCGAGGAGGGTGTAGGCGACACTGCAGAAAGAGAGCCGGAGAAGGACGAGAACATTAAAGAGACCACCAACAACACTGCTGCACAGCCTGTAAGCCCGAGAAGGAAGCGCTGTATACAAACAGACATCTAAAGGAACTCTTCGGTCCTTCCGCTGTGTTACCACTCCAAGCACAGTTAGCCTTACCAGCTAATTTCACTCGAGTGAAGCCCCGAGAAAGTGGGGATCAGGGTTGAGGCTCTAAATTTAATTACAATTTTAGACTGCTGTTAAAGCAGCATTATCATGTGAATGTCAGTGTGTACGGAGAGGGTCGAGGTCTACGTCGGAGAAAGAATTCTGGTTAAAGTAAGCAGGAGCACAGTTAAGTCAGAGATCATTTGGTTCTGTGATGTTCGAAGTTTCAGACAGTTGTTAAAGCTGGAGCAGCAAGTTTTACCGTAAGTAGAGTTGAATGTCCACGGACGAGTGTAGAACAGGTTATCGGTGTGGTCAGATAGCGCAGAAGGCCCGTCCAGCTGTTATGAAGATCTGCAAAGTATCCATCTATACTCCTGATGTCCCCAAATTCCTTATAAAGAGCAGGACTGAGAAAGCTGGATAGGAGCAAGCATAGGATTCTTTCTAATACTAAAATTGAGCTGCTATTCTAAAAACCGATTCTCCTTCATCACATTTGCAAAAATCTGTTTGTCTTCTGGTTTCGCATGAATCAGAGGGACAGGTCATCACTGTGGTCCACCGCTGTGCCACCAGCTCACTCTGTGATTTCTTAAAATGGAGAAACACCACAGCTAAAGGATTGTCGAAGCGTCTGTCGAGCACACAGACCCAAGAGGGACCAGTTTATACAGTAGCACAGTTTATTTTCCATAATCATATATAAGAAAAATTATTATGGTTGCTTTTTGTTTCAAATGTGACTTTTGTGCTATGTGTTTGCTTATTTTTATTTTCCATTTTGGGAAAGTTGGTTTTAATGTTGAAGCCCTGTGTTGGGTCCAACCTTTTTAGTAGAACTGGGTGGGAGGAGAGTTGACAAAAAGTAGCCCTTCTTTCTTTTTAAATATTGTGGATTTAGATCAGCTGTAGTAATTACTTCATCACCACCTTCCTGTCTGCACTGGTAGTTTTTTTGTTTGTGGTTGCACCTGTGCAGAGGTAAGAGTTTTTTAGTGGAATCGTGAGAGGTGTGTTCAAGAAAGGGAACGTAAGTTATTCTTTTAGAAATGCAAAAAAAACAAAGGAAAAAAAAGCAGCAAAGCCCAGTTTTTAAATATAAACCTGTAGCATTTCTTACTAATTACAGGGCTTGCTTTAGTAATCAGCCAGTAATGCTGGAAAGTCAACCAAACAATGTATTTGCAATAAAAAAAACAAAAGAAGCTTTCAAGTAGCTATATAATAAGAGCAAATGTGTCCCGTCAGGAAACACATCAACTTTATATCAAAAATGACTTTGTCGTGCAATGAGAGGCTCCTCTTGTATATCCGAGCACATACGTCTCGTTCATTATTCAGTAGTGAATGTACAGTAATAATGTTCAATTGTTGATTCTCCCTCAGTAATATCCAAATCAAAATCTTATTTTTGATTCAGAGCTTTGGGTGTATTTTAACTACAAAATGTTTTGAGGTCGTTTCTTAAATCCTCACAAATGATTGATGCAGATAATTTTGTATTTGTTGAACCTACAGTGCCTTTTGGAGGAAAATTCCTTTGTATAGTGATTTTTTTTTAATTTCTTTCCTCTGTGTGTCTTTAAATGATAAAAATAATAATAAAATTGATCATATTTGCGGGATAGGCTCCAGCCCCCCCGCAACCCTAGTGAGGATTAAGCGGTGTATAGATAATGGGTGGGTGAGGGGATTATATTTGCCTCGTAAAAGGCTTGAAATGCAAGAAAACTTGATGATAAAACCTCCCCCATCCCTGAGCGCTAACGCTAACTGTCACACTAGCTGGTTTAGCTTACCAAAGACTGCTCTCAGGCCACTGCGGTTGACACTTGACAGAACTGTTAATAGAGTTGGCAGTAACTGAATAAGTTTCTTTTTAAAAAAAAAAAAAGTACTTCAACACATGAGATGGTTCAGTCTGGTATTTGGGGTAATATGTTAAACCAAAACAGTCCTCTTTAAGAATTGTTAAATGTTCCCCTGAAGTAGCCAAAGTTTGTAGAGTTTATGTGCTCAAGGACAAGTAATCAGCACATGTTAGCAATAAAAACCCCTTTTTATTGTAAGCAGTCAGCAGTGACAGTGAGGCTGCATCTTGTGTTCGGCAGCTGGAGTGAATTTTCAGCGTGACCGCAGATCGCTGTGCTGCGACGTCAGCCAGCCGAGCTCACCACGAGCCGGTCATCGCAGTAACTGTGGTGTCAACTAAAAGACACTTCTGCTGCACCTCAAAAGCCTCCAGCTGCAGGATACATTCCCGCCCTTCTTACGTACCGTCTGTTAAAAAATGCCTGTATAATTCCTCTGAGTTTATATCACTATTTGAAGGCTAGTGCCAGGTCTACTTTCTAATTTGGTCAAAAGAAGCTTATGCTATTTGAAAACGTATATATTTCCTAATTATTTGCTTCATAATGTGCATGTAAATGCATATCTTTAAACAAATAAACATTTTCAAACAAGCTTGTTGTTTCTGTGTTTTGGCTTCAGCTTCATTCCAAAGTCCATAAATGACATGCATCCTAGGTTAAATGGGGATTCTAAATTTGTGGATTGGCAGACAGGCTCTGGGGAACACCCTAGAGCAGGGGTCTCAAACTCAACTTACCTGGGGGCCGCTGGAGATAGCGTATTCCACAAAAAAAAGAGTTTCAAGCATTCAAAAAAGTACAACTGATCCAATCTTCTCAATCTTTATTAACAAGTCTGAACATGAAAGGTTCTTCAGAACATAGGCTTCTCTTACCTACACTTGGTCTTGCACAGCTGAGCCACATTTGGCTTGAGGGAGGAAGCAATTGAGACCCTCAGTATGGCTTGAAGATGCTCATCAGTAAGTTTGGACCTGTACTTTGACCTATTAAAGTTGATGGTGGAGAAGAGCTTTTCACACAGATAGCAAAAAAAAAAAAAAAAAATTTGCACTGGGTGACAAGATATATGTTCCCTCCACTCTGTGACACTCCCAAATCACGTTTCAAGTGACTAATGTTGCTAATTCCTGTTGCTGTCACGAGCCTAAGCTATAGTAGCCCGCCTCAGTTGGCCGCGAGTTTGAAACCCCTGCCTTAGACTTACCATCATGTTCCTCAAACCTTTCCTGAACAATGTTTGCAGGGCGGCAGGGGCCAGCTGAACGATGAATACCACGAATGGGGTGTATGTGTCGGGCAACAATGTTTAGGTAGATTGTACTTGTCAAAGTAACATCCATGTGTGTGTTTTTACACCTTCCTATCATAGCAGCATTAAGAAATTTCAGCAATTTGTGCCACAGTAGCTCCTCTGTGGGCTCCTTCCACACGGGCCGGCCTCCGATGCCCACGTGCATCAGCCATCCTCGGCGCCCGTGACCCTGTTGCCGGTTCACCGGTTGTCCTTCCCTGAACCGCTGCATACCAGGAACACTACAAGCCTTCCACTCGCACATATTTCCTGCTTCATCAGCTTCGAGTACTGCCTGTTCTCTGGATGTTTAATATTCTCCGCCGCCTTGACAGGAGCCATTGTAACGAGATGATCAATGTTATTCACTTGACCTGTCGGCGGTTTTAATGTAACGGCTGAAGGTTCTGCAGAAGAAAGGCACATTAAAGCATTCACGTTGCGATTTATTATTTACATTTGCATTCAGTCTATTTACATACAGTACATGCTTTTACATTCCATGAAGCAGTACAAACATCGTCCGCAACTAGTAAGCTTCATATCAAGTGTTTTCATGTAGATGAGATTTTTATGCCATTTTATTTTTACAACACAAAAAAAAACAAGGAAAAGAGGAAACCAGAGTGTGGGAGGAAGAGGGGTCATAAGATTGGAAAAACTGAACTAATACTTTATTCTTCAAAATTCAAGTGACGTAAAAGCTGTGGCACATTGTGCTGTACAAAGACCTAGGGATGGTGTGGGATGTTTAAAAAGCACAAGGACCTCTGCTCCTGTTGAAGTTAAGTGGCTTCACAAAACTCAGCGGACCAACAGTTATAAATATCTAATTAGTCCCTCTTAAATGTAAAAAAATGCAGACTGGTGAAGCAAATAGCAGAAAGTCAAGCACAGATGTAGGAAGAGTTTATTTTGTAATGTTGGAGTTTATTGTTCAGGTTCTGCAAGTAGCTTTAGCCAGTACAGTCATGACTCGATAATCCGACACTAGATGTAAAACCTTCTTTTATGTCTGATAGCAAGGCTGTCGGATTGTCAAGACGGAGGTGGAGATACAAGGAGGGCTTGATGCTGGAAGGCTCATTTGTTGTTAATTATTGTTCATAGTTGTTATAATAACTAGTGTATTGTTACAACACTACGCATTGCTGGATTTCACACATAATTGTCATCAGTTGACATAAAAGGTAAACACGTTCAGACAGCAGGCTGAAGTGACCCAAATCTGATTGGTTTTTTTTCTCCTATGCGACCTGTATGTGATCTTTTCATGACAGTCTGAACAACACAGATCCAATTAATGATGAATATCTGAATATTCGGCACGGTCGGGAGACCATTTCCACCCCGTCGGAGCGCACCCCTGGGGTGGAAGTGACTGGAACACACAGGCAGTACTTGGCTGCTGATGCCTGTTTAGTTAGCGGTCACACTTCTGTTTCCACCATCGGCGGTGGCGGTGGGGGACAAGATACACTCCACTGTTACCATCCATGTTTACTTCCATAAACACTGAGCACACTTGCTGCGCGTGACATTGTCGTGTCCACATTTAATTGGAAACATGAATGAATTCACAAAAAAATCAGATTTCACAAAAAAATCAGAATTGAGCATCAAGTCCTGCAGTCTGAACGTAGCCAATCTGTCGGATTGTTCAGTCAGATAATACGCCGTTATCCTGATTTGTGACATAAAATGTCATGTCAGAGTCAGAATCCAAGGCTGTTGGTATGTTAAGGCTGTTTTTCATAGGTTCCATTTGTTTTTCCTAAAAACCTGTCGGATAGCAAGGTTTTCGGATTGTTTAGGGTCGAATTATCGACTCACGACTGTACCTTACTACTTACTACTTCAGACCTGCTTTTGAGTGTGTTTTTTGCCTTTGTGGTAAAATGTAGGAACTAAAAAGAAACAAAGAGACTTAATTCTCTCCTTGTTGTCTTAAAGAGGTGTGAAGTTAGGTTGGTGAAAAATGGCTTCCAACAAACTAAATGTTCAGGCTCCAAACTCAGTCATTCATGTAATCTTTTTGGTGATGTAAAGTAGGATATCATCACCGTAGAGAAGGACATGAAGGATTCTATGAGCCAAACTAATATGAAGGCTGATGATCATTTTCTTCCTTTGTTGCAGCTGGAAGGGCGTAGAGATGCGGTCATATGCTACAAGTTAAATACTGTACAACTATTGACACAAAAAGACACACAGTTGTCTTGGTTACATTCAAGATTGAACCTGAGAGCTACGGTAAGTCTTACAGTGCATGATTAATTAACTTCAGTAATGTTTGTCTAAAACCAGAAAGGTGACGATCTTACAAGGAACAGAAGACTTAAGCTCTGAGTTTATGTGGAAGTTTAACCAGTAAATCATTCAGTCGCTAATGTGATGTGACAGCAGTTTATTCTTACGGCTTCTCTTTTTAAATTACTCGCAGCTGCTATGAGAACACATGTAAACACCTTGTACTGAAATAGCTAAGAATCTTGGAGATAATGTATGAAGTGTAAAACCTCTCCAACCGACCTGCACCTTCACCACACAATGCATTTAAGTCAGATCAGTTTCTGTGAGTCCTTCTTGGAACCAAGCGTCTTCATAACAAACCAAAAGAAGATCTTTAGTGTTGGCGTATTTCCTCTTAACTGCGGTAGAAATCTCAGTAAGGCACACATTATCCACTCTATTCCCCCCCCCGACCCCCGTGTTACCCTTAACAAATAACAGCGCTCTGCAGCCTGTTACGTGAAACTGTATTTACAGTACATTACATCACAATGTGAATGATTCGTAGTGCAAGCAGGTCACAGGTACCTTTTTAAATAAAGCTTCCCCATTATGTAAGGTTGTGTACTCAGCCGCGTGGTTTGCACACGTTGCAGAGCTGGAAAAAAAGCTGGTCGTCCGCAGTGGTGCTCGTCCCTCGAGTCAGTCGTTTCCATTTTTACACGTCTTACTCACAGCAGCTGATGGCTGTAAAAGTCCACAACTGCTACAGTACGATGTGTGTCCACACCTGTGCATCGCGAGGAGCCGTCACACCTGAAGGGAGTGATCAAAACGTAGCTTCTTTGTGGTTTTGATTGGGAGATTTAAAATTACAATAAAAGCAGTGAAGCTGCTGAGGTGACGTGTTTGTTGTACTCTTACCCTGTTCGCAGAGTCCATCAGGGTCTTTCTCAGCAAACCCGTCACCTCCTCCAGCTCCTGCTCGGCCTCCCGGATGTTGGGGTCCAGCTGCAGGACTTCCTGGAGGTCACTGCTGGCTGACAGGTAGTCCTAAAATACGGTAATACACCCAAACATAGATTAAGAGCAGGAGGAAATCAGTACTAGTGCACAAACCAGCATCTTAAAATAAATCTAATTCACTTGTGTGTGTGTGTGTGATGGAGTGTGTCGGGCACCTGTAAACCCTTAAAAGCCAGGGCTCTTCTGTAGAAGGCTTTCTTGTTGGCCGGCTCCAGCTGCAGTGCAGAGTCGCAATCCTGTTTGGCCTCTTCAAAGCGATTCAGTTTCAGGAGACAAATGGCTCTAAAGGAGAGCAAAGGGTTCAGACATCACTCATCTGCAGCTGGTAGCGATTATTAGGACCGAACTAGAAATGCTCTCTCTGCTTAAAAAACAAAAATAGGACACAAAAAAAATAAATCTGTTGAGGTTATTTCATGCCACTTCTAATTCAAACCAACTTGTTTCACTTGTTTTGATTAATTGCAGCGAAATGCATCTTCAGAAAACTCTTGAAATGAGTGGATGTGTGCCGGAGAAGAGCTGAAATCATCTCAATCTACTGCCAGATTTTTACACTTTTTCCAACTTTTTGGACTCAGTGACAGGAAACAATGACTTGTTCATATGGAGATTGTTGCAGTGTGTAATAAGATTTGCAGGGATTCGTGCAGTCTTTGACAGCTACACACAAAAAAAATGATTTTCCATTAGTTTAGGTTTTCATGTGTGCAACTTTAGATCTTGCTTTTAAGTCAAAATCATGAAAGAAAAGCAAACTGTAACTTTTGCTCAACTCTTCACCAGCTGTTTTATGTAATTACATTATTTCTAAAAATGTTTATATTGACATGAATTATAAGTGATGTTACCAAGAGTGATAACAGCTGCAACAGAACAGGTTTGACACGCCAGGTGAGCATGTGGTGCCCTCTACTGTTTTTCCAATTGTAATGTTCTTAAAGATGATGGTCATAGTTTTCAAATCAGCTCAGTGATACAACCTCTGGGTCAGTCCTGGCATCTGTGAAACTGAAAACCCATCTTTCCACACAGATATGTCATGTCATGTAAACTCTGGAGCTGCTTTTAGATTGAAAAACGATTGAGAAATGTGGGAAAGATGAGCTGCTGGGAAAGGAAGATGAAGAAATAAAGTCAAAATTAGTTTTGCTTTCTAGCTTTGAGGAGGAGCTCTTTTTGTGTCTGGTAATTTAACAGATTATTTTGATAGGTTTAACCTTCAGGCATCAGTTTTAAAAAGTCACACATAGGTTTTAAAAGGCAAAAATGTCCACTGCAGTAAAATATTGTGTGTCTATATTATGTTCCACTTTCACTGTCACCACATCAGGAATCAAAATGTCCAAATATTTATTCATTTTCAGGATTTGTCTACATGATGCCACTGTTGGTACTAGTCAAAAAGGTTTATTTTTCCATATACTAAACGCTAAAAGGATAATATAAAAGAGAACTATCACCATCTTGGGCATCATTGGGCAACAGCAAAATTGATTCTGATGCATTTTTATTTTTTATGCACCATCAGATTTAAAAAGAAGAAGAAAAAAAAACAACTCAGGACCTTTAAGACAAAAATATCCACATAATAAACTATGGTGATCCGAATTTTGTGCTTTGTGTGAAACTGTTTTAGTGTATCTGCTTGTGGTTGCTGGTGGCGGTGATGGTGTTTCCAGATGGGAGAGCTCTCACTCACTCTCCTCCATCAGCAATCAGCGCTGCATAAAGCCTGCCTCCACCTGTGCTCCAGCGCCAGTGGATTATACTCCTCAGAGTGGGAACAGGCCAGCCGTGCTTTGAGAACTTCGTGCTTTGTGATTCTTGCTGTATCTAATGTGTGTTTACGTCTGTGCTTATTGCCAGAACCTCCCCGACGGAACGTACAGCTCAGCTTTGGCAGCAGAACCCCAGCCTCAGTCGTCTCATCTCTGGGTCCACCCCCGCGCAAGGAAACTTCCCCAGGACCTCCCTCACTCACTCAGCTACCCTCACCAGCTTCCCGGTGTCCCTTGGTTCCCTACTACTGTAAAATAAATCCCTCTTGTCTTCACTCCCAAACCCTGTGTTGCATTTTTGGATCCCTCCTTTGACTGAACCCTCACAATAAACTGCCATAAACATCTAGAACATCATCACTACTTTTCCACTTTCACTAAGTTTTTTAAACCAACATCAGTCCTGATGATAATGTCCACATATGCATTCATTTTCAGGACTGTAACCCATTAAATGTTTTGTTTGTTTACATAGTACTACAGCTTTTTTAAATTTATTTATTTATTTTTTTTTAAAAAAGTTTTTCATATTTTAAATGCCAAGCTTATTTTTCGTATCACAGTGTGTGATTAGCCATCAGTTTGCAACAACAGACTTTAATGCATTATTATTTTTTTAAGTGGTGTAATATTTATAAAATAAATAAATCACACTCAGGACCTTAAAGACAAAAATGTCCATGTCACACACACTGCCAAGCAAATATTACATACTCATTTTTTTTTTTTCCCCTACACATTTTTAAAGAGCTTGATAGCATCTTTTACTCAAGATTTCAGTCAGATCCTGGTCTCGTTTCGTCCTGTCCTGCCCATATAGTGTATCTACGGACAGTAACAACACCTCTACAGCACACAGTGATTCTTTTAATTGTATTCAGGTTTCAGTCACTGCTGCAGAGATCAAACAACCCTCCTGTGTGTGTGTTAATTGGTTCGTTCATACCTGTTTGTGTAAAGAGCACATTCGTCAGGTTTTAGGGTGAGGCATTCGCTGTACTTCTCCAGAGCCTCCTCGAAGTTTCCTTTCTTCACCAGGCTGTTGCCTTCGTGTTTGAGTAAAGTAAAGCGGGCTTCTTTTCTTCTGGCTGTCGACAGAAAAATCTCATTTAAATTATATACCAAAAGAAACAAAAAATGTCTCTGCAATTATGAAAACAATCACTATTTGTCTAACTGGTTAAAATCCGAAAATATGATGTAGCTAGAGTTCATGAAGGGATCATTTTGTTCTGTGGAGGCTCTGGCTGAGTTGCGAATGTCAGAGTCCGGCTGCACTAAATGGGTTTGTCTTTTAAGAGGCCTCTGCTGTTAGTTCAGCAAATGGTTCCAGGACTTTTCAATAAATCCATCATCCTGTCAGCGGCCGTCTGAACGGAGCAGAGTGGATGAGTCAACTCCTCCTTAGTTAGCTGTCTGCAGTGCTGAGAAAGTCCCTACATGTAATGAGTTGTGGAAACACGCGCAGACGAGCCTGGCATTCATCAAATGACGCAACGAAGGATACGAACTGTGAAATCATTTATTTAGTGCGAAAACTTGACTCAGCAGGCGTGTTTATGGATAGTTATACACTTTTTTTTTCATTTTGAAAACACTACAAAGTGCTGATTTAAAGGTCAGAATCAGTTTATAATCTTTGGTCAGTTTGCAAAAATTTCCCAAACAATCCATTCATCCATCATCTATACACCGCTTAATCCTCTCTAGGGTCATGGGGGGGCTAGAGACAGACAACCAAGCACACTCACATTCACACCTACGGACAATTTAGAATCACCAATTAACCTCAACATGTATTTGGACCGTGTGGGAGGAAGCCGGAGAACCCGGAGAGAACCCACGCTGCACGGGGAGAACATGCAAACTCCACGCAGAAAGATCCCAGGTGTCCTCACTGGGACGCGAACCGGTGACCTTCTTGCTGTGAGGCAACGGTGCTAACCACCGAGACACCTTGCAGCCCCTGATCATCGTGCCCATTTAAAATGAATCCTGCAACACAACATAATATTGTAACACACCACTCTGACAGCCTTTGCTCAGACTTTTCTATTTTAGAAATGCTCTGTTGCTGGGAGACTAAATTAATAAGCACAACACCAGTATTCCAGATCAGTCACCTCTAAAGTTTATGAAAGCCGAGTGTCAAGCTGTGAGCAGAGGATTTTCTGGATGTAAATCAAAAGAATAAAATACATGTACCAAGCATAAATCTGAATATTTACAGACAACAAGAAACTTCCTTAACAAACATAAAAAGCAAAAATGGCGGTGCTCCGATGTTATTTATTTGACAAACGAAAATGGATTTTAAGTCACAAAACAATTCATCTGGTAGTAATGTTTTTATGCAATATGTATGTTAATTAAAAATAAAATCCTACATCAGAACATTTCAATGTAAAGGCAGGCGAATCTCTTTTTTTGTGGAGCTCTGGGGGAGCAAAAATAAAGCTATTTGAAAGTTTTGTGTGTGCCAACTGCATATGTTCTTGGTTCAGATTGCTGATTGTTTTTTAATGCACCGTTGCAGATAAGTAAGACATCAGCAGACGGTCTTGTTGCGCAGCATGTTTCAGATCCCCTCACAGATGTTCACCTCAGGAGACCGTAAACAAACAAGCTTCAGCTTTCTGGAAGTGATTCATGGTGGAGTTTGGGGTCTGCTTTGGATCAGTGTCATATTGTCGAAATTATCCTCTTTCTAGTTTCACTTTCTGGACGTTTGTATCCAGAATCTGGTGATATTTAAAGGAATCTGTTCTTTTATCTTTTCATGCAACGCTGCCCGACAAACCCCGGAGAAGAATCTTTCCACTGTCATGCTTGACAGATGTTCTTTGAATCCAATTCTGCTTCTTTTATCCAAGCATACCTTTGGTGATTGAGTTTTACCTTCATCTGTGAACAGCGCTGGCTTTCTAAATGACTCGGGGTTGTCCAGATGTTGCTTTTCATACTTGAGATGTTGGCTTTTCTCATGCTGCTGCAGGGAGGATTTTTTTTCTGAGTACCAGCACACCATCCTCCGGTCAGATGGGGCTTTAAATTTGCTTTTGTTCATCTTTAAATATTTCTTGGTCTTCCAGATGTTGTCTTGACTTCTAACTGCAATCTCTTAATGACATTTCGGACCAGGGAAACCGCAACGTGGGGGCATTTTGATATCGTTTACCAGGTATCTGTAAGCTTCATTATGAGATTCTCAGTCACTCATTGCCAGTTGTTATTGCCAGGAGCCATTGTAGTTGCTGAGTGTGACCTCAGGGCCGAGCTCTGATGAGTCCTAACAACAATCCTTGACCCGCCCTACAAGCCCTAATGAGTCAATTAGGGCCTAATGAGATAAAGTTGACGATTTAAAGGGTAACAATGCGTTTGAAGAGAAGCTCGTTTGTAATCTCTGTTTGCTTCCGTCGGATTCTTTTCACTTTTAAAAACAATTAAATATGTAATTAGCTCGGAGGTGCACACGGCTGTGCTTGCCAACGCCGGGAGAGTGATGGAATGTTTTTACATCAGCGTCAACAGCAGCTCAATCACACCGCCGTGCTCGTTTAACTCGCGGCTATTTAAAGCCCATTAGCTACACCGGAGACCGAACACAGTAAATGAACTCTTCCTTTGGTGTAATTGTTTGAGGGGATTTTACTTTAATTTTTATCTTACCTCAGTTATCATGGTAACAGTTTTTCACATCTTTATCATGGGACTCAGTTCAATGTTATTTTTATGAATGGCTTAGTCTGTGGGTGAGTTTATTTCCAGTGTTTTGATGATCAACGCTGGCTGATTAGGATGGAGCAATGTCATTTTTGTGCTTTTATGAGTTATTAAATTGAACATTTGAGACACTGAGTCATTTAACAGGCAATTAAAAAAAAAAAAACAAAGAGCTCCAGATTGTCATTTTAATGTACTTATAAATGACCACATTTAGCCAGTCCCGTGTGTGAATACTTCAACTTTAAGCACTCTATCAAACCACAGCAAAGAATACATGGAAAAAAGATTGTTATTTCATATTTTGTACTTGTGTTTATATCTTATTTAAGGTAGAAAATTTATTCCACCAGCGATATAATAGAGACGGTTACACTTTTGTCTCTCCGGTTGCTTTAAACTGTCGCATTAACACATTTTTTAGAATTGGGAATTATATGAAATACACTGAATAGTATGTATTAGTTTGTTCAGAAGAGTCAGGAGGATGATTTAACTCCTAAAGTTTAAAACATGGTAAATTAAAGGAAATTCCTCTAAAGAATAATCTACTAATGTACTCTGTTTGTCCAGGTACTTTAATTGACTTTATTTCGTTCCTGCTTTTCATCCCCCGGTCAGAAGCTGTGACTCTGCTTCGTTTAAACCGCTAATTATATGTGCAGGAGAAAAAAAAGAGCGAGAGTTTTCCCAGGTGTGGAAATTCAATCACCTCACTTAAAACACAAAGTGGATTGTGCCGACTTATCACCGACACCGAGTTACTGCTCAGTGAAGCAAAGCTACATTTTATTTTGGTTAAATGATGAACGCACTGACAGAAGTTTGCGTCTTTTAAATGCAGGAAATGTTGCTTGATTGTCGAGGTAAAATTAGATTTTCTCACTAAATAGGTGGTGATAAAAACTGACAGCTTCACATCTGTTTCCCCAGCAACAGCAGCAGCTATTCTGAGATTAGCACATCTATGTGATATGCTCATTAACCGTTTATATATGTATCCGTATGGGCTGCTGGATACCGGTTACATTCTAGGCTTGGAGTTTTTTTGTGATAAAGACAAAAAAATCTATTTAATTTTTAGTGTATTGGTGTTTATTGCAGCATACTGCACTGCACGTGTTTAAATATATTTAGGTTTATGGTACATTTGGAGCCTTTTGGTCTCTGTGAGCAGCAGGAGCAGAGAAGAAACCTGACCTGGATTGTTCCATTACAGCAGCACTATACTCTGTGTGGATCGCCTTCCCTCTGCATTATTGATAGTCCACCCAGACACACACACACACACATAGCAGGACTCTGCCTTCAACACAGCTCAGCGGTTACACACTGATTCTCGCTGACTGACTTCTGCTGCTGCTGCTGCCTTACGATCCCATAACTCAGGTTTCTTCATGAAAACACGGTACGAATTTGATCATCCACGATTCATTCAGGAATATTTTCCCACAGAGAAAAAAAGAAAAAAAGCATTATGATGTCAGATTTCTTCTAAGTGTGTCCCCGACTGGATGCCAACTGAAGATCTTTACAGCCGGCAGCCCTTCATGTGAGTCATTTAACCACCCAAGCTAGAAATAAGTGATCCGGCTCACCTTCCTCCTGTGCAGCCCTGGCGGCCCTGGCTTGAGCCTGCTCCACGCTCATGGGTTTCTCCCTGTGTTGCTGCTGGACAGACAGAGGGACGACGGGAATCTCTGGCAGCTTTTCTCTCCACTCAGGCCCGTCCTGCTCAATCAGCATCTTGGTGATCCTGGCAGAAGAAAAGCAGAGTAAAACACATTCTTAGCAGGACTGAGGCTGCATCCTCTACCGGGTTTGTGGGCTCCACATCGATGCTAAGAGGAGGCCGAACCTTAGAGGATGGTGTAGTTGAGCAGTTTAATGGCAAATGAAAAATCAAAGGTAACATGCCACCGGATCCCTCTGCGGTCATTGACTAAACCCCTAAAAACTCTGTTTATCAAAATTACATATTTAAAGGTTTTATGCTATGAAAACAATCCCTCCCTGCCTAAAAATGGCTCAGATGTACCTGCACACTGCCTGTTTTAAGATGTGCAGTCACCAACCCCCATGCACTGGCTGCAGCTCGAGCACACCAGCTCACCTACAACTCTGCTTATAGAAATTCAGCCAAACATGTTAAACTGGAAACAGATTCTGAAAAAGAATAATGGCACAGAAAGCTCCAATTTGCAAGTTGGCATGATTGGTTCTTTGTTACATATGAAACCGCAGAAATCTGGGTTCATGTTTCTGAGACTGTCATTGGTCAACCACAGTTTCAGGATGGAAATACTCAGCCATGGAGTTCACTGCTTGAAATAAGCACATAAAAAACTCTCACAGGACACGTGAACAAGGTAAAAAGCCTGATTTTCATTTAAGGGGGTCTTTAAGCTGGTTTTAGCCACATGCTGCCATTCAAATAAACATGCTTTCTAACGATGTTTCCACATGGGTGTGCCCGCTATGAAAATTCAATTTTATGGAATGGATGTTAAGAGGTTGAAATACAGCTGAGTCTCAAATCCACATCACTTCTGCAGCTGTTTTGTTGTGTGCAGTGTGGTCAGACTGGAAAAGGGACAAAGTAAAACAAATTGTGGCTGGAGTTGAAAAAGCTCCGAGATCACCACAGAAAACAACACATTTCATAGTCGCTGTGTAAACCTTTACTGGTGCTGGAAGTCGAGTCTGAATGTAGGTTTGTGTCCTTGTGGAGCTACTGGTTGTCTTCAGAGTTTGGCTGGATGGAATTTTGCACCTCTTCAGCCTTTGTTTCAATCAAAGAGTAGGTTTTTCTTAAAATAAAGGCAGCTATTAAACTCTAGTGTATTATGTTTCAACAAAAATATCATTTAAAAAAGTCTTCTGTGGGTTTCTAGAATGAGCAACAACAACATTTACTTTCAACTTCTGACCGTGAAGCCTCTGTATAAGTCTGTAGCGTTCTGTGTTTGGCTTTTGTGTCCCGCTGACCTGTGGACGCTGTCATGAGCCGCCTGCACCCCGGTGTCGATCTGCAGGACGGTCTTGTAATCCACGTAGGCCTTTCTGTAGCGCTCCAGTGACTCATAGGCCATAGCTCTGCGTAACAGGGGCTTCAAGGAGTAGGACTGCAGCTCCAAAGCCCTAAAGAGGATCAGAGAGATGCACAGACAGAGGGATCAAACCGTCTGCACCTCCGCACCGTGTCACAGGTGTAACCGGACTGATCTTCCCATTCATGAGCGTGTGAAAGATTGCTGCAAGCGATATCAACATCCCAAACTGCAGCATCAGGGACAATCAGTGGTTATGATGTTATTGTGGGAAAAGCTCAGCGATTTGTGAGCTGTGTGCTGCGTCATGGGCTGATTACAAAGCAAACATCCCTTTTCTCTTCTGACGGTAACAGTCAGTGAACGGGAAGGCATGTTTTCAGTTATGTAAGTAATATCCGGTGGAAAAAAAACTGTCATGAAGTGAGTTTATATACTTGTAGGGGGTAACAACTAACACTAACACGAAATCACAACAAAAGATGTAGAGAGATTAAATGAAAACACCTAAAACTTGATTAAAAAGACAACTTTAAAAGGAAAAAGTGGAACTTTTTAAAGCTGAGCCTTTTACAAAAATAAAGCAGCATAGATAATATGCTAATATAGTGATCTACACTCTGTCTTTCCAAATGTTAAACAATTAATCCCTAAAAAGCTGAGATAAAGGATTAGAAAACAAATTCTTAAAGGGGAACTCCACCAATTTCACACATCAAAGCGTGAAAATGGATCAAAAGGTATAAAACCTCCAGTGCAGGCAAACTGTAATAACCAGCCTCGAGTGATGTGAGGCTGAATTATTATGAAGAAGTGAGCTTAGCAGACCTCTGTAGGCCGCTCTTCATCTCTGCTCAAGGCTACATTAGCCACTAATTGTGAAATATATGTGCATGTGAGCGAGAGTTGATCAGCTCTGACCAAACCTACCCGAACTTCAATGACCAACAACAGCAGAGCGACCCTTGAAACTGGGTGCTTTAGCTGATAAAGAGGCCGACATGAGCCTACATTTTGGCAGTCAAGTCGCATCGTAAGTCCAGAGAAGAGAAACAGAATGCATAAAAGAAGAAGACCTACAGCCGAAGGGTCGGAAAAATGTGTGTGTTAAACCTGCATTCTTTCTGACAGCCAGCAGGGGGCGACTCTTCTGGAAGTCAGACTGCATAGACGTCTATGTGAAAATGACCCGACTTCCCACTTGATTTATTACCTCGGTGAACATTTTCCTAACGAGTTTATGCTTCCAGTCAATTAGCATCTCAATTAGCATCAAAGTGAGTGAGCTAAAGCTACAGATAGCTAATCATTTAGTGTTTGGTAACAGTACGCGTAGTGTCCTCAGGGTCACACCTATGCCTCACTCCTCCCCAGCTGGCCATGACCAAAATGCCAAGGCTTCAAAACAGTAGTCCACAAACTACTGGTTGGTGTCACAGTGACGACACCAACCTCTGACTGTACCTCTGTGTGTGCACTGGAGGAGTTTTGAGCCTTTTTTTGAAACACTGTCCATTGCAATCCTGACAGTGTTATGCAAAATGTGTGAAGTGCTCCTTTTAAACCTGACAGGTACATTAAAAGCCCTTGCAAATATAAAAAAAATAACAGTGCCAGAAACACACAGAGCTGACAGTGGTCACGTACTTGGTGCAGTCCTGTATGCAGTCTGTGCTGTTTCCGTCCTTTAGGTAACAGGCAGCTCTGTTGGAGTAGAGAATGCACAGGTCTTCTGGACTATCGATGCCTGCAGGGGGACAATCAGAACCACTCATGTGAGAAGCCAGACTGAAAGAACACTCAGACCATCTTTGATGTCAAAAAGGCATCAGTAAGGGCAGAATAACACTGTACATTAACAGCAGCTCTTTTTTGTTGTTGTTTTCCTCTGATAACATGATTTTAGACTTTGTGGTCTTGGCCTGAGAAGCTTCAGACTGAAGAGAAATCAAGAGAAGCAGCTCAATTTCAACTGTCTAGAAAGGCTGAAGGGGTGGATGGTAGACAGACAGATGAATTTGTTAACAGTCCCTTTGGTGCTCATTTTCTGATCTCCTCCTGTGAGTCTCCTCTGCAGTTTCATAACCGCTGTTACACGCTGCTGCAGATCTGATGTCAACACTGTTCATGCAAACAGACTCAAAGCAATGTCAGTGCTTTTAATACGTTGTCATACGTTGTCGTAAATCTGTCTACGGTGCTGCAGCATCACCCTGGCGAGAGCAGAAGTTGGCCGACTGCTCTTAGCATGACATTGAGTCTTTTCCAAAAAGGCCCTACGCACCGGCACATGACTTCTATCTGCAGGCCAGCGTTTCTCTGCATTCACAAATCACCAGTGACGCCTCATGTCTCAGCTACAGTCTCTGGGTAATACACAAAAAACTCAAGTGACCTGGACTCATTCTGTACTTTATAATTATACCAAGTACAGTGCAGAAGGTGCAGGACGAGGACAACTGTGCAGAAAGGCAAGCAGCGGCGTAATGTATTCATAACTGACATGGGACACTGAGGATTATGGAGCCAAATTACACTCTCTGAGTCAACTTGTATTTGATACCCTTACGAGGGCTAATACACAGATGCTACGAGAGGTCAGTCTGTGCCACCCATCTGTTGTCGTTAGTGACTTCATTAGAAGCTGCTTTTGAGGAGTTGTCGTGAAGCAGAAGAACTTACATTGTTGCAGCAACTTTAATAATGAAATATTTGACATTTTTCTGAGCAAAACTGCCAGAAATTCACAGTTTCCAGAATCTAAAATGGCAATATTTGCTGTTTTTATATTCTTTTGGAGCATTTTAAAGACATTACTTTGGGTTTGGGGGAGTCCTAAGGGACATTTCAACTACATTCTGACATGGACCAATCCATTATTGGATTATGTAAGAGAATTCTTCTTATCTGCAGCCTTATATTCTTACTGTAATTTGCTGTGACATAAGCTCTCCAGTGCATACAACCGGAGCTACAGATTATAGTGAATTCCAGAGAGTTTCCTTTACCACATGTCAACAGAAAAACCTACATTCATGCTCAACAGATTTGTTTCCGCTTGGATGAAATACTGTTAATAAGAAATCAAACAAGCCTTTCATGTCTCCCCCACCTGCTTCAGCACATCCATCAATGGCCTGGCTGTACTTCTCCAAGGCGTCTCCAAACTGCCCATGCTTGAAGAGGTGGTTCCCCTCATTCTTGAGCCGGGCCAGGTGAGGAGGCAGGGCCCCGGCAGGAGCGTCCAGGTAACTTGTGTCCACTGCAGGGCTGCCCTGCTCCCCCTGTCCACCAGCAGGGCTGTTTTCTCTCTGAGTGCCATTGGCCACCCCCTTCTCCTGAGCTCTGTCATTCTGGGGCTTTTCCCCGCCGCCTCCACCCCGGCTTCTCGTCCCGCTCCCCGCTGTGGCCTGATCCGGTCTGGCTGCCCCTCCTCCGCTGCCAGGGGGTTTCTCCTGTGCGTTCCCCATAGCTGCACTCCCTCTGCAGTGTGTTCAAACTCTTCCTCCCTCCCTGCCTCTCCTTCTCTCAGAGCTGCAGCTACATCTGTGCCTGGCTGGGGATTTCTGCTGGACACGCCTCCAGTTTGAGGCGTCACAAGTGATGTCAGTGAGGGGGGATGTGCCACAGCGATGCAGTGCTGCAGCAGGACGCCTCTGACGGGAGAGCCTCGGCTTAGACTTCAGAGCAAAAGGACTGGTGGCTCCAGTGAGGTGGAACATGCGCACAGAAATATGGAAATACTGAATGAGCACCTGGTCAGACTGTATAGATTATTCACACAAACTACAAAACCACTGCTTCTGAATTACCCACTGAACAAGATATGTTGATTATATTTTATTCTTTTATTGCAGTTTACCAAGTTAAAGTGCCACATATTTGCTCACCATCTTACAATTAACGCTTTTTCCTCTTTTTTTGTTTTTTGACAGAGGACATTATGACATTTGTAAATAATAAATGTAAATGTGTAAATGATTAATCGAATGATGACTGAATTCCATTTAGCTTCTTTAGTTTCAGGATCCTGGTGTTGTGAATTCATTATAAAATAATTATGAATAATCACATTTCAGACATTAGAGTGCCAAAAAAATTAGTCAATAGTGAAAATGGTGATTAAATAGAGCTCGATTTGTCACTTAAAGGAATAGTTTGACATTTTTCAGAGGTTATTCCATCTCAAATCATCTGTTCAACCATCTTTAATTCGCTTAAAACTTTTTTAAACAATAAATTATAGATTTTGTTCTATATGTGAACTTTTACATTGATATGTGTAATACTTTTAAGACTTTTTTTAGTTGCCTGTCAACTGACTTATCTAAATTTTCGCACATTTGAGGCAATGTTTGGATGACAATATCTCAAGAAATATTAAGGATAAAAGTTTTGGATGAAGTTTTCACTGTAATTTCTCCTCATGTCATTGATCAAGAATGTGCAATATTGGACAGATAGATCAAATAGATTTTGTCACTTCTGGACAGGGTCGTGTGGGCTGTGTCCCAGTTTCCCGTCTTTATGCTGAGCTAAGCTAATACACTGCAGCTTTATATTTACTACATAGACATGAGAGTGGTATCAATCTTCTCATTCAAAGCTGAAAATGTTGGTCAGCGAGGAATAAAAATAATTGTAACCACATTAAAGCTACTTCAAAATGTAGGGGGCATAATGTGCATGTTAAAGAAGTTAAAGCTGTTCTCTTTGCATATCAAAGGGTGCAGTGCAGAAATTGTGTGAATGCATGGACAGTACTGAAGTGCTGTACTATCCATTGACTGTTTTGTTTCAGTATAAATGTCTTAATTATTTATGGCCTTTGCTCAGTTTTACATGTGGTTTCTAAGTTATTCTGCTACTTCATTGACCACGTCACTGTCTTCTATGCTTTGGTAATAGCTGTGTTTGACGTATCAGGGGCATAATTTTGCATCTGTGTGTCGTCTGTTTCTGATGTATCATGTAAATATTATGCAGCTGTGTGCAGCATTTGCAAGCAGGACAAATTTCACCCCGGCTGACACAAAAGTACATCTTCTCATTTGCTAATTACACCACTTTGGGGGGGGAAAAGACAACAGAGGTATTATTAAACCTTCATTATTGTATAGGTTGTGACCAGACTAACGGTGCCCTCTGGCTGATAACACAAGTCAGAAGTCAAAGCTCAGGTGACAATATATTATTAAAAGGTTAGAAGAGCAGAAAAACACACTTCTGCATCACATATTACTATGGTAATTTCTTCACTCTGCTCTAGCTGCGTGTTTTTAATTAAAAATAGTATTTAGATTTAAATCAGACACTTGTTTTAAGGGGCCATAGGTCAGAAATGTTTGGAACTCCTGGACTATGAACATCTTACAGCATGTCAAAGATAAGTGACTGAAAGAGTATAGGTAATTTTATAAAAACTGAGAAATATAAGTCCCTGTTTCATCTATGTGCGTGGTTCTCAAAATAGGGGTTGGGACCTTCTGGGCAGTTCCGAGATACACAAGGGGGGTTTTGCAAGATGATTTCAAGAATTAAGATGAAATTAAAAAAAACATTAGAAAAACGCACATTTCAGTCATAAGTTACAAAAGATTTTTTTTTTAAAAAACTGTGATTCTGCTGCTCTGACACTGCGTATGTTTACCCAGTGGTACAGTTTACACATAGATTAGTTTGATTTATGCTTTCTGTTATATCTGTTGTGTTCTTTTGTGTTGCTACAATGCCTACATTGGGATAGTCCTATCAGTGCATGTGTAAAGGCATGTGTAACTTTTGTTTGCTTCACCCGCCTCCAATCACTGGCACACTTATTTTGGTTGGTGTTGGTTAGAAAAGTTTGGGGAACCGCTGATCTAAACATTACCATTCACAGATGATTACAAATAAGACAAAACTGTGAAAGCAGTCAATTAAAAATGTGTTTTAATAAATCAAAACTTCTTCACCAATTAAAAACCCCCAGTAATGTTTATGTTGACATGAAAATGAATAATTCTGAAATCCAAAGCCAGGCCTCAAGGTCTATTTATTTACATGGTGATATGATAGAAAAAAACAGTAAACAACAAGAATCATCCAAACTGCTGCTCTCCTCTTCTTCATCGGGCATCAAACACAACCACTGAAATCCAAGAGTCAAGGAAATGGACAGACACTGTAGTATCCAAGTCACACATTTGATTAAGAATAAAAGGCAATACATATTATTTAATACTTTAATATGAACACTGCTGTAGTGTTTAGTCTAAACTAATATGCTTTGTTGACTTTATATTGAGATGTTAGCAAGATAAGATAAGTTAAGCCTTTATAAATCCCGCAGTGGGGTAATTTGTAAAAGTAAATACTGGGAGAAATAAAACTACTGCTCACTTCCATACACAAATAAAGTCCATCAGTTATTTTGAATATACCACCTCCTCACCCACACGCACACAAAAGGATACATCTCTTTGTTCTCTTCTTGTACATGATCCTGTATCCACACTCTCTGCATCTGATAGGATCACGAGCCTTAATTTCATTTTCAGTGTGACATTCTGCAAGTAAAGACAGAAATTGTGAAGTCATGTAAATCAGTCAGTAAATTAAAGTATGCAATACATCAACTAATTCAATTCAATTTTATTCACATAGCGTATTTCACAACATATGTCATCTCACAGCGCTGAACATAGTAAAGTGAAGACCTGACGAATTCAAACAGAGAACATAACAATCCAAAGTTGCCTTTAGACTCCCTCTGAGCAAGTGGTCAACAACGGTGGGAAGGAACCCAACCACCCTCGGTATCTTAGAATCAGCTCCACTTTGGCTCGAACTACAAAGTTAAAACTTGTGTTGTATCTGCTGTCAGACGTACGTCGCTTTGGATAAAAACGTCTGCTAAATGAAATTGTAGAATTGTAAAACAAGGGATGGGTAATTAAGCAATTTCAAATCGAAACCACAATTTAAAACAATCCAATTAACCAGTCGCAAAGGATATACGAGATGTGGTTACAAAACAATGAGAGTAATGGTGTTTGCAATGCTAAGTAATTTAAGCAGAGTGAACATTTCAGGGGTTGTTTATGTTGCGTTATTATCAACATATGCTACGTGTTGTACACAAACACTTGGTTGGTCTATAAAGTACAGCCTATAAAGTTAAATAAAGTATTTGTACTTTTACAGGAGTACAGTTTCTGAATATATATCCTTCGTCACTGTATTGTGGACATTGGGAAAGTACTGCTGATGAATCATTTCTACTAAAATTATTCATTTTCTGTAGTCTAATGTAAGATAAACACCCAAAGGAGAAGTAGTTTTAGTAGCAGTGACAGTAGATGGAAAAGCTGCATTACAGCATCGTTAGCATTAGAATTAGCTCTACTCTAAGCACAAGCAACATCAGCAATATACCTCCACATATGTAGATCATAGGCTGCTGTTTGGGCGGCTGTAGATCTTTCTGTGCGTCCATATTGATCCTATAAAAAAAAGAGAAGATTGTTAGCATCATCATATCTGTGTCAGTAATAGCATGCTAACAGAAACAGCATGTGCTGCCGACACGGTTTGTGTAAAAAAAGACACAGTCGGGAAGTATAGTGAATAACAGAAGTCTTAAGGACTCTCAGAACGCTGTATGAACAGACTAAGTATGAAATACACAGAAGTAAAAACAACAAATAGGGCAGCTTACCGTTTAACACGCTAACTGTTAGCTGTTTACCTCTCTTTTCATATTCCACACGGCTTCCTGCCTGCACATGCGCACATCCGTCGTCACCTCAAAGCAAAGTGGTTTGTGATTGGTCAGAAGAAACTTTGACTTTTTGAAAGACAATTATAATATATGAACATAGGAAGTTTTTTTTTTTCAAAACGCGTGTTACTAGTTTAGAATATACATATATTATATGATAAGTTATTTGTGCTTTCCAGGTTTTTAAGAACCTGATTTAGAGCTTTTTTTGTTTCGCACTCCGTCCCAACAGGGGGCGCTGTGGTGAAGCTGTAACCGCAAACTGTCCATCATCTGACGAACACTCAGCTGGCCCTGTACTAGTTTTTGACAACAACGACTCTGTCGACAATGTTCACATCCTGACTATTGGTCCTCAAACTGCTACAAGTCACTCTTAGTCGGTTGTCTTTTTATTTTTGAAGCTGTACATCATGGAACCGTCTGCGCCGAAAAGGTTTGTACATCCACCTGCTTTAAAAACTGGCAGCAAGCTATTTACAGGCTAGCTAAAAAGCTAACGTAGGCGGTAGCTGTCGCCCAGCTAGCTGATGCTAAGCTAACTCAGTTAGCTTTACCAGTCTGCTCTCTAACTTTCAAATCTGTTTAAAGGCTTTAAATATATAACTCGAACTGCGAACCTGGTGTTAAAACCTGTAATGGGTTTCTGATCTGTCTTCTTGTTGATTATCTGTTCGTGTTAACGTTGTTTACATCATTTATTTAGGATTTTGTTACACGTTTTTATTCGAAGTTCAATTAATGGATCGCATGTGAACTGAAACCATCTTTCACTTTCCAACAAGATACACGAGTGTCAGTGATGCGGTTCAGTTTCTTGGTCTCGGCACCGTAGAGACCCGTGTGTTCACTGGTTATCTTTCCAAATTTACATCCCCGCGTTTAAATTCACTAAAGAGGATTTTCAAACAGAAAGAGAAAATGAGAGACATGTCACAACAACATGGGAGATCTCACGTGTGTGAAATGCTGCTGGACAGTAACGTTGAAATTATAAGCTTGTACCTGTCCAATATTTATTTGAGGAATAATTTTATTTAAGTAGTACAATTCCCTTAAAAAAAAAGATTTTACAGTCTCTTGTTTTATTCGGCCAACATCCAGAACCCAAATGTATTCACTTTGTGTTCAATTTGCAACCAGATACTTATTATTTTTGGTTGAGAAATTACAGATCAAATGTACGAACATGTTTCACTGCTAATTTAATTTTTTCTTAACTGCCAAATGATAAATATTCTGTTATGAGTAAAACAATTACTTCTACACTGATTTATTTTCTGAGATATTATCAAGCTAAAGTAACTGTACTCACCACAATACATTTACCCACCAACAGTTGTCCCTTAGTTATTTCTTTATGCGTGACTGTAACTCAGTGTTAGGTGCTGGAAATTCAGCTTAATTCTGATTGCTTCTGTGGCGTAGTTTTCTGGTTTGCTTTCACTACTCGTTTTTCATTACACTATTGTACTGAGATCTCAGTAGAATTGTTTATTTTTTTTACAGTAAGCTGAAAAAGCTGAGTGAAGACAGTTTGACCAAACAGCCAGAGGAAGTGTTTGATGTTCTCGAGAAACTCGGTGAAGGGTAAGAGGTTCCATTTTCACTACTGTTACTTGTGTAATACATCAATTTGTGGCTTAAAGTGCATTTTGGACATATTGTTCAGACTTCAAACTTCATATGTGTGTATGTTTAGTTCCTATGGCAGCGTGTTTAAAGCCATCCATAAGGAGTCAGGCCAGGTGGTGGCCATCAAGCAGGTGCCCGTGGAGTCGGATCTACAGGAAATTATCAAGGAGATTTCCATCATGCAGCAGTGTGACAGGTGGGACAGTGCAGCTCCATGTCTGCAACATAGATTAGATGAAACTATCAATTTCACCCCTACTTATTACACTTTAAAACAAAAGTATTGTTAACTTTTCTGTCCTGTTCCGCTCTCTGATGTCTTGATGTAGGGTTGTTTTCTCACTTCTGCCCTTTTTGTTTGAAGTGAAACTTTTGATAACCACCCAGTTCTGCATTTCCTCTTAGCCCTTATGTGGTGAAATACTATGGCAGCTACTTCAAGAACACGGATCTCTGGATCGTCATGGAGTACTGTGGAGCCGGTTCTGTCTCTGACATCATCAGACTGCGCAACAAGACGGTGGGTGTTTATACAGAGTCACTGTTGTGTGTGTGTGTGTGTGTGTTTGTTTGTTCTACTGTGTTACACGTTTTCATTGCTACCTTTTTTGTTTATTTGTGTTTCCGTCCCACCTTAGCTGACAGAAGATGAGATTGCCACCATCCTTAAGTCAACACTGAAGGGTCTTGAATACCTTCACTTCATGAGGAAGATCCATCGAGACATCAAGGCAGGAAACATCCTCCTCAACACTGAGGGACACGCCAAACTGGCCGACTTTGGAGTTGCTGGACAACTAACGGTAAACCTGTACCAGATGATAGCAGCATAGAACTGAGGAAGATGCTTATTTGTATACAACATGCATTGTTGTTTGTGTTATTTGTATCATCAAATGTGTATTTATCCGACAACACAGTTTGAGCTTGATTCTGCATATACTAAAAGAATGAGACATGGTTAGTGATAATGAAAGGAGAAGTCTTGAGTTCCAAACTTCTACTTGAAACACATGATCGTTCGCTAATTTGGTGAATCCAAATAAAGTAATTTTAATATATAGTTCTTCTAAACTAATAATCGTTTATATTTCCCCTCTCAAGGACACCATGGCGAAGAGAAACACTGTGATCGGTACTCCGTTCTGGATGGCTCCAGAGGTGATCCAGGAGATCGGCTACAACTGTGTAGCTGACATCTGGTCCCTGGGCATCACATCCATAGAGATGGCAGAGGGCAAACCCCCCTATGCTGACATTCATCCCATGAGAGTGAGTGTACACATGTTTTTTGATGAAGTGGGTGCTTGTAAGCAATCGGTTTGCTATAAGCAGGGCTTGATGTAACATTTGGATGTGCGATATATAAATGATATAAGTCTGGCACTTTTCTCTCTTTGTTATTCCACTTTACTAACTCACTGTATTCCTACAGGCCATTTTTATGATTCCCACCAACCCTCCTCCAACATTCCGCAAGCCAGAGCTTTGGTCAGACGAATTCACAGACTTTGTCAAGAAGTGTTTGGTCAAGAACCCAGAGCAGAGAGCAACGGCCACGCAGCTGCTACAGGTTGGAGGAAAAAGACCACACACACTCACATTCACTCATACAGATTTATCAACCTTTTCAGACATGAAGTTTTTGCTTCAATAATTTGTTTCAGTGATAAACATGTTCTTAGTGGAACATTAACATTCAGACATACTCAGGCCAGTCATAGAAAGAGCCACTGTGTGCACAATATTTGTCGTATGCTTTAAATTGGACAGTAAATCAGTTTTCATACTACAATGTGGCTGACAAACATGAATGTGTTTCAGGAGATTTTTTTCCCGTCATATTACTGATGTTTTAGGTCATTCTCCAAAAACACTAAATGGAATTAGGTCGCCGCTTGTACAGCATCACTTCCTAGACAGTTGTGTTGCCTGCTACATCCATTAATGCGACTAAATGCTGTTTAGACTTCTGCTGTGGTAAAAGGGTGCTCATTCAGACAAGAGGCAAACATGTTTCGATGTTGCCTGATTAATACAACAGTAACACGTGTGTGGAATAGATACGTTTTGGTGTACGTGCTTGCGTTAAGCCCAAAATACAATAAATCCATTGTGTTGACTTTTGTGGATTTCCAGCACCCATTCATCAGCCAGGCCAAGCCAGTCACAATCCTCAGAGACCTGATAACCGAAGCCATGGAGATGAAAGCCAAGAGGCAGCAGGAGCAGCAGAGAGAGCTGGAGGAGGAGGATGACAACTCTGTACGTATGCTGAGATGTTAACAGCAAAGTTCCATGAAAATGATCCAGGATGTTACGCTGCACGTCTGATTATGTCGTGTCATGCAGGAGGAGGAGACCGAGGTGGATTCTCACACTATGGTGAAGTCGGGCTCAGAGGGCGCCGGGACAATGCGGGCCACCAGCACCATGAGCGACGGGGCTCAGACTATGATTGAGCACGGCAGCACCATGCTTGAGTCAGATCTGGGCACTATGGTTATCAACAGTGATGATGAAGAAGAGGAGGAAGACCAGGGATCGATGAGAAGTGAGCACAAAGCGTTAATTTAAATGCTGTCACACTGATACTAAATGATGTTCAGACATACCACAGGTTTGACTCAGGTTCACACTTTTTCTGTCCACTATTGCTCTACGATCATCAGTTGTACCAACATTTTTAAGTGACAATAAATGTTTTGTCATTGTGTTTTGGTGGTTAGTAACAATGTTCACGTGCACAAGTCATACAAGGGCAACAAAAACTGAGGGATGTCCTTTTAAAACTTTTTTTCTCTTGAAGTAACAAAGAGATTGTCTTCAAAGTAAAAATATTTGTAAAAAAATCAAGAAAGTGTGCAGGATTTATTATTTTTTGTTTTGCTCAGTACCCAAAAAATTTATATAAAAAAAATACTTGAGTGTTTCCCTCAAGAAACTAGAGCCTTTCTCTTCCTCCACAGGGCACGCCACCCCACAGCAGCCGATACGTCCATCCTTCATGGACTACTTTGACAAGCAGGACTCCAACAAAGCAGCCCAGCAGCAGGAGAACTACAACCACAACCAGCCTCAGGAGCAGCCCGGCTACCACATCCAGTCCAAAAACGTCTTCCCTGACAACTGGAAGGTGCCTCAGGACGGAGACTTTGACTTTGTGAGTGTTTCCCACGAGTCAGTGATTGTGTCGCTGTAATGAATGCTGTTATTCATTGTGGTGTGCTCTGAGTTGACTACACACCAGTGCCCTGTGGTTAAAAACAGCAAAACAGAAGTGGTTCTTTGTTTTATCCACAACAAGACACTAAATGTGACTCATCTCTTTCCAACTGTTTCTGTTTTTCCACTCAGCTTAAGAACCTGGACTTTGAGGAGCTGCAGTTGCGCTTGACTGCCTTAGACCCCATGATGGAGCGGGAGATAGAGGAGCTCAGGCAGCGCTACACTGCCAAAAGGCAGCCCATCCTGGATGCAATGGATGCCAAGAAGAGACGACAACAGAACTTCTGAGTGCTCCTCGTTGTCGCCTTGTCCCCTGGTGTGGGTTTCCCAAAGTCACCATCACCACTAAACTTAATTCCCAGTGACTCAGGGGAGCTAAGACGACCTTGTTGCTCTTATTGGATGCCCTCTGCTGTGCTGACTAACTGCCAGCCGGCCTCTGAATGAAGATAGATGCTTCCTCTCCTGGGTGACATTCATTTGGCTCCTGGAATCCACACTCTGTCTTGAATATCCTCCACATATGTTAAATTTTCCTCCACAGTTCCGGCAAAGTTATTTTCCCATGAACAATGCCCAGGACTGAGGCCAAAAAGAGAACCAAGCCACGGCTATTACACAGCTGAAAATATCTGAAGAATTTCCTCTTTTTCTCAATGAAATTCCCATCATGTCATGCAGAGAACACTCAGGAACCAGCATCAATGCATAAGGAAGCCCATCCACCAGCAGCAGCACAAGCAGAGGGTCGATGATGTGGTCTTTTTTTTTTTTTCTTTCCTCAGACTTTTTACTTTCAATGTAAATATAATATAGAGCCTAGTTTGGAAATACCTGCAACAAAAGCTGTGGAGGTTTTGTCCATGACCAAAGACAATCAAGATGATGTTGACGATGAAGTTGAGAATGCCTTAAAATATTTGAAACCGTGTTTTCAAAATAAGCAATGTAATAAAACAGCCAAGTCATCGGAGCGTTAAATCCATTTCCTCACGAGGAGACGAGTTGGATCGTTGAAAGATGCAAATGTTTGTCGAGATGAACACAAATCATGTGGGTGGTGAAGACGGTGGATCGTGCATGTTTTCAATTGTCTGTGGACCAGAAAAAATTTGAAATTTTCTCATCAGTCTTTATTATCTTTTATTTAACTTTGTTGTTTTCAAGTCTCATGTTCTGGGCTTCGTTATGCATCCGTTGCTCTGTCTGTAGGGACGGACTTCTCGCATTGTAGTGCCTCATAACACACTGATCCCAGTTCTGCGTTGCTCTCTGACACTCGCTCAGTGCTTTTAATGTTTTTAAAAATCAGAGCCTTTACTCAACTGCAAGAGATCACACAGAAATTCATTCCCAGATGGAAAACAACAACAACTCAATTCTTCCTAAATACTGTATGATTTCATTCTTTGACAATCTTGTAGGTTTATTTTAAAGCCCTGCGAACTGTTTTATGTCATTGTTCCACTTAATGACTGATTGACTTTAGTCTTGAGTGACTTATTAAACATCTAAACCGTACGTGACACCATCCTCGACATGAAAGAGCAGAAAACTCAGCGCAGTAGCTAAGTTTGAACTGTTGTATAAACCGTTTTATTGCCGGGGATGACTGTGAAGTTGAGATAAAAGACTCAAGTGACGGACTGAAAAACTTCAAACCAGAGCCGCTGCATCAGCCACACATTTGATTTCTTTGTTTCAGACTTTAGGTAATAATTTTTTATTGCATTAAGATTTCCCCTGCGGCTTATATCTATGTATTAGCGGTTATGAGGGCTTTCCGTTTCCTGACATCTGATGCTTTTGATGAAGGAAGGAAGACATTCTGTGCTCATTTTTAACTGACTTTGAACTGTTGAATTCAAAAAATGTAGTTGAGAATCACAATTTTAGCAGATAATCGCCCAATTCAAGGGACCTTTATGTTTTGCTTTATCCTAAGAAAATGACCTTTTTTGGAATTTCTCCACTATCAGATATCATTAACGGTATCAAAAATCCAATTTGAATGGTGAATTTGAAAACACCCTACTTGCAATCTATTGCCATGTTTGTCCTCTTTGTAATAGAGGCTGTTTGGGCTTTAATTTTTCTGTTGATGAAGGACTTTTTTTGTTTTTGTGTGGTAATAACGACCTTTTGAATGAATTCAGCCTGTCTTAATCTTTAATACTTGTGCAGTACGTCTGCAGGTTGCTGTTACAAATGAATGTGGCTCAGTCTTACTGCACATTTACCGATATCTTAACATGACGGTTATAATGAAAAGACCTGCTGTTACACTTGCTCACCGTCTTATCCGATGGGCAGAAAATCAGCTCCCATTTTAGGCACAAATCCAAATTACAATCATGGTATCAGCTTGTGAAGGATCAGTACTGTTTGCTTTCTCATGTTTTCTTCTGTTTTTCTACTTCAAAGTGAACCAGAACTTCGACAGAAACCATTAACATCTTAATTTTCATTCCTAAACTAAGTCTGCACTTCATCTGCAACTTACACACAAGCATTCACGTTTTATTTATTAAGCTTTTTTTTTTTTTTTTCTTTTGGTGACACTGGTTTAAATATGGTAGCTGATTTGGCTGTTGATATTTTTGCCCTTGGTCATATAAATGTGTCTTGATTTCTCTCTGTGTTTAGACTATGCATGTTTAAAAATTAAGTTTGCTATGTAGTGGAATGCTATTGTATTAACTGCACAGGAAAGAGTACTGTTAATATGGAAGATGGATTATTTTTAATTTAGCTTTTAAATATTTGCTCTGCACAATTAAAAAAAAACAAAACAAAACAAAAAAAGTCCAATTTGGAATTGTTCAGAATCGGCCATAATAGTGTACAGTTATCTGAACTCATGATTTGCTATACGGGCTATATTGTTTGTCTTCATTTATTTTATGTTATTTCCACATTATAAAGACTTGAGGGGTGTAGAGTGGAATGTAAGCATTTATGTTTGAACCACTTAATTTATTATGTTTTGTTTGTAATACTTTATAAAGTTTTGAAAAAATGTGCAAGAAATAATAAAAGTTACTTATAGTTAACCAGAAATGCTGTTTACAGGCTTTTATTGCTTTAGTACTTCAGTATCATTGCCATTATTACTCCTTACTTTTCTGTTCTAGTCTTATTTTAGCTTTTTTTTTTTTTAAATTCTTAATAATATATCATACTTATATGTTATTGCTCCTCTATCAGCTTCTGCATTTATTCTCATTTTATAGTCCTATTACATTCTGAGCAATATCTGCCGTACAAACCTCTTTAGAAACTGATAAAGTTCAATCTTATCTCATTTATATCTTATCTTTAAAAATGTAGACTGAAACCAGCGCGCACCCGTAACTCTTATGCTACTAGCGCAACTCATTTTCTCTTGTATGCGCTCCTCGGCTATAAAACCGCTTGCTGCGCTTATTGACTGTATATTACGGTAGATTTTACGGCAACAAATGTTCGTGTTTTTCCACAACTTGTTGCACCACCCCGTCATTCATCCACAGCTTCTCTGCGGTGAAAAGAAATCTGGAAAACATGTCTGCGCTCAACAGGAAAATCACCAACACCACATCAGCCCCGGCTGCCATCGGTCCATACAGGTAGGACGGATTTAATCAAACACATTTCTCGTGTTTTTACAGCAACCACGTGCGCTGCAGGAGTTTAAAAGTTTGAATGAATGTCAGGGGCAGCTGGAATATTTGACCAGGGGCGGGTCTTACTGTTCAGTGAACTCACCTGCTTTAAAAGAAAAAAAAAAAGGGCCAAAGTTTGACCTTCAGCAGAGCAGAGAAACAGCTGCAGAGAAGGAAAGCCTCTTTGACACACGCTGAAATGGCAACTATTCGTCGACAGTTCCCTTACACACCTAAAGCCCCTGTCAGACAGGGAATATACAGGTAAGGATCCACGTCCTGGGAAATGTAGTGTTTGGATTTCTGCCTGATCTTTAAAAAGTCTGTCAAAGTACGGTTTTGTTTTTATAGCAACTTGAGTTTTTAAAAAGGAATCATGTAAGTAATTTAAAATCATGATATAACCTGCCAAATTGTTGTTTTTTGGTATATATCATTTGCATGAACTGAGGGGTGTTCCTGCTCTGACCAATTGACTGCCAGTGGGTGGAGTCAGTTCAGATGAATGGCCTGAGCTGATTTGTATTCAAGGAGGCATTAAGGCCATTTTTCTTTTCTTTCATTACAAGGACAACAGCCACACCAATGTGCAGCGGGCGATAACGGCAGCGTTTGGTTTAGATCATTAAATGCAGCCGTCAGAATGATGATTAATGTCTTCATCTGGCTTTGTAGGTGCATACGATAACAGCGTTGGTTGCTGAAACATAAGAAAGCCTCTTTTTGTGGTCACATCTGCAGTAATACATTAACGTCAACGTCCAAAGGCAAGGATGGGACAAATAATGAATATGTGCAGAGGATGTGTTGAGGTTGCAGATGTGTTGATGCGTAAGGATCTCGGGAGTGAGTAGATTTCAGTGCAATATTACCTAAAAGTGATTTAAAATTGCATCACCTTCCAATAACTGCATTCTCTCTCAGCTGGCGTGCAGGTTATTCTGTCCTGTGAACACTGACAAACAAATACATTCAAAAATTTAAAATGCGCCATCCAAAGTAAGAAACTCTTGTGACCCCTGAAAGGAGACTGGTTTACCATTAGTCCAAATGCATGAACATAGTTACAAAATGAGCAGTGAGAACCTTTCCACCTTTGGACCTATGAGCTGTGACCATCTGCATGTCTGCATCAGGGCTCCACATGGAAAAAAAACTGAACAGAGCAACTGAAAAATCTGACAGTGAGATTTCACAAAGTTGTAAAAGGATACCAGACGATCGGTGACAAACTGAAAGTCAATGGAAACCCGTTAGCAACAGTAATCAGGAGGTATAGAAGAAGCCATATAGTAGCACTAATCAGAGTGGCAGTGGCCATCCTGCTATAATGACACCAAGGGCAGTGCACTACTGACACCAGGGATCTCCAGCTCTGGTCCTCGTGAGCTACTGTCCTGCAGGTTTTAGACGTTTCCGTACTGACTCAAATTAATGGATCATTAACAGACTTGTGTAGAACTTGACAACATGCTGCTGTTGGAGATCCATTCATGTGAGTCAGATGTCTTACAGTACGGAAACGTCTAAAAACTGCAGGACAGTAGCTCACAAGGCCCGGAGTTGGAGATCCCTGACTTACACAATGTTGCTGTTCAGAACAGACAGGCCAGTGCTTCAGACTTGGCACAGGGGTTATCAATGATCACTAGAGTTAGGTACGACTAAGATAGTGTGAAGGACATGACATAAAATCTGCCTTTACGGATGGTGTCCATGGAAAAGAAAGTCTTGATTCCTCTTCAGCACAACAATGCATGATATACTTGGATAAAGAAAATAATAAACTGAAGTCTGATGAATATTGGGAGCACACTCTTTGGTCAGGTGTGACCAAGATAAATTTGTGTACACAGATATTTGTCGTATCCTTACTCAGGACTACGACAGTGAGTACATGACAGTGAAGCACTGAGGTGGGAGTGTGATGATGCGGTGCCACTGACATGCTTGTTTTAATTTTTCAGTCTATGTAGATGTGCGTTCTACTCAAATGAAGCATCCAGGTGTGAGCCTTATATATAAATCTGTGTCTGTGTGTCATCTTCAGCCAGGCGGTGGTTGTGGACAGAACCATGTACATCTCCGGGCAGCTTGGGCTGGACGTGGCCTCTGGTCAGCTGGTAGATGGAGGCGTGCAGGCTCAGGCCAAACAGGTGAGAGTCAGAGCGACACAAGATGATGGCTGGTTACATTTCTACAGGTGCTGTCTGCATCTGACAACTGCTGGTCTATCAAAGAAGTAATTTAAATATTGCATTAACAAGAGGTGCAGCTGTGCACTATAGGTTGCATCAATGAGTTCCTACTATTTTTTTTAATTTTTAATTTTATAGTGATATGCTTTTTTTTAAATTTAGCAAAAATATTCAGTAACTTTGAGGCCTGAAATGGCAACACAAGGAGAACACAAGGGGCCTTTAATTTTATTGTATTTCATTAATTTATGGATTATGGTTGTAGCTCAGTATTAAATGTTGTACATTTTTTAATGCCTCTGATCATGTACAACTTGCATTTTATTTTTTTTACAGCCAAATAAAATGGAAATGACCTAATTCTAGCCAAAGGGCTGGATCACTTCAAAATAAAACATTATTGAGGCTAAAAGTCTGAGCCACATCAATTGTTCTTTTATCTTTGTGTTGTAACATCTAAATTTCCCCTTGGGGATTAATAAAGTATTTCTATTCTATTGTATTAAACAATACAAATGTAAAAGATGAGTCTATGTGTTCATCGACTCTGTGTCTTCCCTCCTTCTCGTCTCTCAGGCGCTCATCAATATGGGGGAGATCCTGAAAGCTGCCGGCTGTAACTACGGCAACGGTGAGATCTCACTTCTTCCAGGATCTTCAGTGACTCAGCTTTTGCTTAAATCTTTCACGTGTTCTTAAAATGAACCACAAACGCTGAGAGTGAGTGAACTGTCTTGTTTCAGTGGTGAAGACGACTGTGCTGCTCGCAGACATCCAGGACTTCAACAGCGTCAACGAGGTCTACAAGACATGTAAGCCAGCACTTTATTTTTTCTCATGTGCTCCATAAAGTATAAGCTTGATGGTACTCAATATATTTCTGGTTGTCAGATCCTATTAAAATACCATAAACTATAATAACTTAACCACACTGTTATCTACTGCTTGTGTATTGATCTGTGCCTTAGAGCTCAGCCATTAAAACACACTGATGAGCCACACTGTTGGATTTTCTTGCTATACCAGGTGATATTGGTGACAAAAGATGTTTAATTGGATGTGAGAATGGAGTTGTTCTTTACTCATAAATATAACCTCTTGAATATATAAAAACAGCCACAAGGGGGCAGCTTTGACCAACAGTGTCAGAGCTGCAGTCAGATCAGTGGCCATTCATGTAGCCTTTACAAACAGCCGACTTCATAGAAGAATCTAGTTCTTTATTACTTTACACAGTGTGTTACTGTACAGCTGAAGATGGCTGATGGTGCTTCTCATGAGGAAACTGACTTAGTCCATGCTATTAAGGGTGTAGCCTGCTGAGGTGTTCTTGAGCAAGGCACTAAATGTGTGATTGTGTTGTGAGAAGGGAGGAAGTAAAATGAAGAGGACAAGTTTCCTTATTCAGGGGATCTGCTGAGTTTAAATATCGGAGATTGTCTTTAATGATGTTTACTGTGCAACCAGAACATTGGGAGACTTTTTAATTAAAAAACAGCTTAATTATAAGAAAATTAGAAATTCATCGATTATAAAAAGCAATTATAACTTGATTTATTATATTTATATGCGGGCTGAACAATTTATCGAAATATGGTCAAAATATGGCCAAGCACAGTATTCAAATCACAGGAGGAGGCAGTTTTTTGATAAAAAATAAACCCAAAAATACCGTTATAGATGAAACACTGTGGTTCTAACCAGCCTCTGTAAAGGAACATGACTGTTTGGTGCAGACTGCATCAAAAACCAAATAATGATTTTTATATAAGTTTTTCTGTGGAAAAGAAATGTTAAAAGGACTATTTCCACTAAAATTGGGACTCTTATTGCAATTTCTCATCTAAAAACTGGATGAACGTTGCTGCAGAGCCTATTAATGGGTTTTAGAAAACCTCTTTAACATCCTCTGTACCTGTGTGGTCATGAGTAGATCCGCTGCCTCCTGTTTCATCCTGACATCCCTCAGAAAGCGACCGCTGACAGGTCTTCCAGTCACCTGACAGACGGGATCACTCAGCTCCTCCTCTGCTGTATGAATGCGTCCTCCTGACTCCGTCTGGGCATTTCCTCCCCGATCACAACAGTCAGGTGTAATGGAAGCTGCAGCGTCCACTGAGTTGTAAACAGACACCGCTGTGCAGGTGCACAGATGTAACCCAACCTCTCCCAGCAAGCATTGCAGCGTGGCCCACTGGACAAGCCTGAGCTCAGGCCTCCCTTCTGACGCTACTCAACCCCAAACCAGGGGCAGGGAACTCTCCCTGACCCTGACAACGCCACGGAGAGGACATGTGTTGTGTGTAGATTCACACTTAGATGCTCACTTTAAAGGAAATTCTGGCTAATGATCAAACTGTTTTTGTCTGATTCCTAAAAATATCGTCACTTAGCATTAGCATTTAGCACGTACAAGCATACAAACACCTATAAATGGTTGCTGACACACTGTATAGCTGTGATAAGCAGATATGTGTGGTATTATCTCATTTTTCAACCACTGTATCTCCTCCTGTGGACACCCGAAAGTGAAAGCCGGTGTATAAAAACAACCAATAAATGACTATATTGTTGAAAGCAGCTGTGATGTATAGCAGAAGTTGACTAAGGCTGTATGTTATAGTGTCTTATAAAACATTTACGTCTTTATAAATGGTCACTATTGAAAGTCTGGCTTTAACCCATTTCCTGATAAAGTGGAATATTAAAGGTTTATTAGCTGTAACTGCTGGTTTTAATAACGTTGCAATATAGTTTGAAAGTCATCCATAAGGATCCAGACTGTGTAAAAAAAACTGTTCAGCATCCAAATGGATTTTCCATAACCTGGCAACGAAAGCTGCTGTGCTTAATATCTTTTTACTTGGCAATAAAAAATAGTCTCTAAAGCAATAATACATGATCTAACCCTCTACCAATAAAGCCTTTAGTTGCACACTTTTCATTATCAGGAGGTGAAGTGATGCACTGACAGAAAGAGCCACATTTTAAATAGATAGATTTTCAATGCACTTTGGTTGTAATGTAAATGTAATGAAAATGCTTTCCCTTCAGTTTTCAGCAGTAACTTTCCTGCCAGAGCTGCCTATCAAGTCGCTGCTCTCCCCAGAGTAAGTACATCAGTTCAGAGCTGCAGTAATCTGATGTATAGTCTGTACATATATTGCTAGCCAGGTGCATGCTCATTCATCCGTGCCAGTGCGTTTTCCATCGACCGTGTGCAGCTGTTTTCCCCGCTCGTGTTGCGTGAAGAAGGATTTATCAGGAAACATCACATGATGGGAGTTCCTGTAACGTAAATGCTGGTTTTAGGTTAGAGTGAGGTTGTGTTGAGTTTAGAGTAAAGGTCAGAGGCAGCCAAGTAGTCAGTGTAATGTCCTCTAAAGCAGTGGTTCTCAAACTTTTTGAGTCACGACCCCTAAGATAACAAGTTTGTGTTCATGACCCCCCAATTTGAATTTTTAATATCTCATGAGTAATAACTTTGTTGTTTATGCATTAATGCGTGAAAAATGAATGTGTTAATTCCACAGACTAATCTCTTTACATTAATAATTTTCTTTTGAACGAATGAATGAACTGGATTTATTTCAAACAAATGAAAAGGAAAAAAAAAATAAAAACAAAATAAAATAATTTTAAAAAGAGCATTTAAAAAGAATAATAATAATATCACATAATCAAATCATAATATTAACAAGTTCAGAAAAAGAGTGGGAAGAAGTATACACTTTTAATTTTGACAGCCCTAATACACATTTATTAAATAAATGTAGGTTTTATTTTATTTTTATTTTTATTTACGATAATCTGGTGACCCCCTGAAATGATCTTGGGACCTCCAGTTTGAGAACCACTGCTCTAAAGTGAAGTGTGGGTTCTTTTTGTACATTGTGGTATTTTTCCCATGTCGGTTATACCTCTCCTTATTTGTTTTTTGTCCAGGGTGGACTGGTGGAAATCGAGGCGGTTGCTGTTCTCGGTCCTCTCTCTGACTCCTGACTGGCCAGCCGCCCCACAAACAAGCTGTAGCCTAAACCGCCCTTATAGCTGCATCGCCGGAAACCTTATTGTGTTTCCAGATGACACATCAAAGGCCAAACTGGGATCTTGTTAACTCTCACTGTGGCTGGTCGACTGCACTGCTGAACTGGAAACCTTTACGTTTACCCTTCACAAAAGAGCAGCACTTAATGGTTTGAGGCTGATTGTAATTTCACACCCGATAAACGGTACATGAGACAGAACGTAATGATGAATTGCATCCTAATGCCTTTCCTGGTTTGATTACTCGTCCTCTGTTTTGCTCCAGATAAACTGACAGAAAAGCAGTTCTGGCTAATAAAATGATTGTTTTCCACCTTAAGATGCCACATTTGTAATAATTCCTGAGTTATCAAAGACGAGGCGTACATTTGGTGTTATTGTTAAGGTGACCTTTTTAATTTTTTGACAGTTTTACAGGTTTTCTTCCCAGAGAGAAATCATGACACCTCGGAAACAAAAAAACAAACAACAAAAAAGCCCTCAGGTTTACGCTTATCTCTTACATGCTCATCAGAAATTCATTTTCCAAATCAGCTGTACATTGGAGCAGCTTCATTACAAATATGGTCATAAAATCAAAGCCAGCTACCCCAAAAAAATAATATAATTTTATCAGTCAAATATACTTTGGCTTTGTTTGTTTTTCAAGAGTTGTGGTTTTGTAGAAAAGTTCTGAATGGACTCTTAGATTAGCAGACATAGTGTGTAGTAAAGGTCGTATAAATTTCAATACAGATAATAAATAGAACTTTCTCTAGATAATCCTCTGAAAATAAACACACCCGCTAAGTGCTGTAGAACTCTGTCTATGTACAGTAGAAACCATCAAGAAAGAGAGGAGGGGAGGGGGGAAAAAGGCACAGTGGTGACTGAGGACCCCGACTGAAAGCGGTTGTCACGGGGTCGGCATCTTGGCAACGAGGCGATGTCTTTCACACCCAGACGTACTTTCACTCACGCATACAGACAAGGTGAGACACAAAACTCATCTGCGCAGCCACTCGCGTTGCACGTCACTCGCTGGGAGCTGGAAACACAAAGAGACGCATTTAGGACGGCGCGAGTATCGTTTAACGGACACGACGAGGAACGTGCAGCTCTGCTCACCTGGTGCTTCCTCTGTGTTGGGCTCTGAATCAGCTGCTGTGGCCTCTCCTTTATCTGGAAGGAAAGACAGAGAGATTTGTGAACAGTGGCTGAAAGGTGAACCATTGCTCATGGTTGCATGTTGTTTTCTGTCACCTGTCAGCTCTATATTTGACTATCAAAAGCATAAACTGCTGTCTAAGCATATTTACTCACTTACCTGCAGTGTTATCTGATACAGACGGAACAACAACAAAAAATCAATGCAGCAAGCAAATGGTCTTCCTCAAATTACAATTGAGTTCAGAAAACCTATTTTTTTGTCGTTTGCTTGAGATAATATCACTCAAACTGAAGCTGAGTGGATGTGACTCAGTAGAAATGACAAAAATAGAGATAAGTTAAGTTTGACTGATGTTGTCTCAGGTAGACGATGGAAAAGTGGGTTTTCTGAAGGTTTGTGAACATGGAGTTATCTGTTTTTGCAAATGAACTCTTCAAATTCTATTGTTTTGTTTAGAAAAGAGTTCAATTTAGCAAAACCGTGTACAAAACGTTTCTGAGCTGTTCAACTGGTGACGATCTCGCCACCATTAAGTTAATAAAGGACAAAGATCAGACAGAGTGACGCTGCTTTGACCAGTTAAAGGCCAAGTCTGGATGTCCGACAACGTGACCCTTCCCCCGTAATGTCCACCTACTTCCCCGAGCCCCTCAGTAAGAGTTCCACAACAGTCCACAAGCAGCCTCGACAACCTCATCGCTTCTACACGTCACAGTTGTGTGACTCATTACTGACTTCTGCTCTGTGACCCCACACTTGATCTGCCCGTTATCGTTTCCAACGTGGTGCTTAGTTGGTTGTTTCACGATGTCCATTCTGTCGTGGAGATGCTGGAAAAACACATACTTATTTCCTTATTTTAGAAAGAACTGATAGGATTTAATCACATTTTAAATGCTGCGTTCATGTTTTTGTTGAGTAGAGTTTTACTTCAGTTTTGCCTGATTTCTCTTACGTCCGATTACAAAAAAGGGGGAAAAGAGTTTTTTGTTGTGGCACTCAGAACATTACAAAATGAAAGAATGTCCTTGTTCATCTTGACACAACACGCAGTCAGTGAACAGTGGAATATTACAACAAGCGTCAGATGGATTGTCAGGGGATTTGCTGCACACATTCATGATCCCCTCAGGATGAACTGCATCAACCTACTAGTAAGTAAATCCTTGATTTTTGATCTGGGACCCTCATTTGGCAGGGCTGCAAGGTGGTTAAGTGGTTAGCACTGTTGCCTTGCGTCCCGGTGAGGACACCCGGGATCTTTCTGCGTGGAGTTTGCAGCGTGGGTTCTCTCCGGGTTCTCCAGCTTCCTCCCACAGTCCAAAAACATGTTGAGGTTAATTGGTGATTCTAAATTGTCTTTAGGTGTGAATGTGAGTGTGCTTGGTTGTCTGTCTCTAAGTGTAGCCCTGTGATAGACTGGTGACCTGTCCAGGGTGTCCCCTGCCTTCACCCTGAGTCAGCTGGGATAGACTCCAGCCCCCCACGACCCAAGTGAGGATTAAGCGGTGTATAGATAATGGATGGATGGACCCTCATTAGGGGATTTTTTTTAACTTGTCCAATGCTTTGTAAAATGAATGACGTTGCCACCAGCTGTATATGAACGTAGTGCTTATTAGCAAATTTTAACATATGAACACAGTGAGCATAATAAACATCACACCTGCTAAACATCAGTCTCATGAGTACAACTGCCTCTCAAAGCCTGATTGCAAGTGTCTCGTTTAAGTGCTTCTTTTTTTTATTCCTTTCACATGTACGGTTTTGGAAACTTACATCTCAACAGCTGGACAAATTACATCTCAATGCCTGGATGTCATTAGAAGTAGGTGGCAGTTTTTTTTTTGTTTGTTTTTTGTTTGTAATATAGCTGAACTGACTAATTATTGCCACATCTTGCAGATCTTGCACAGACAAATCCAGGAAACTAAAGGTCCATTCCAATGTCCATTATCCAGCCTGTAACACTGTTTAATCTCAAGGTGTGAAATCTCAATAAGTGTGAAAGTGTGCGTCACACAGCGCTTTGTTTCATTTCCAGTTTTCCATCAGAGACTTGCGATAACAGATTATTTACAACAAGCTAATCCTAAAATCAGCTGCCTCAGAGGCGGGTGAGCTGCTCTGTCCGCTCAGCCTCCGTGACACTCGATCCTCTCTCTCCATTGGCTGTGAAATGGAGGCTCAGCCGGCCTGACATCGTTCGTCGCCAGTGGAAGCCCTATATGTGTTGGCATGCTCTGGTTTCTCTGTGGACTCGGATTGCACCTTAGTGATACCACGGTGACAAAAAAGTGTTGGCAACACACACACACACACACAACATCTAAACAGGGCTGTGGTCAAGTTTGAACTGAGGATGAGTCAAGTTAGACACCAAAGGGGGTCAAGATCAAGTGAAGACAGAGAAATAACACAGATTGTTTTGCTTCTGAATTATGTGAATATTTGGTAGAAAATTCCACATGCATGCACTGATCACTGTGTTATCAATAGAAATGATCCGTAGTGCATGATTCATGGGTGAATTTCTGTTCATGCACATTCTGGAATTGCATTATTATGAGTTGATATAGTTGTCATCAGGTCTTTGTACTTTTTAGAGAGAAAATTAATTAGGAACAATGTGGAGATAAACATTCCCCTTTATCACAATTTTAAAAGATATGTAAGTTAGTTGAAAAAAGATTAAAAAGACTTGTCTGAAATTCTTTTAACTTACTGACAAATTCTTTACACCGCTTAATCCTCACTAGGGTCGTGGGGGGCTGGAGTCTATCCCAGCTGACTCAGGGTGAAGGCAGGGGACACCTGGACAGGTCACCAGTCTATCACAGGGCTACACTTAGAGACAGACAACCAAGCACACTCACATTCACACCTACGGACAATTTAGAATCACCAATTAACCTCAATATGTTTTTTGGACTGTGTGGGAGGAAGCTGGAGAACCCGGAGAGAACCCACGCTGCATGGGGAGAACATGGAGACTCTACGCAGAAAGATCTCGAGTGTCCTCACCGGGATGCGAACCGGCGACCTTCTTGCTGTGAGGTGACGGTACTAACCACCGATCTACCTTGCAGCCCTTCAAAGATTGTGTAGATTTAATTTTAAATTGCAGGACTGAGTTCACCTTTTTCTGTTATTTTATGGATTTATTTAAAATGCAGTTTTAATAATGTAGAATTATCATCAAATAACAGTCTTGTATCTTCACTATGGATACATAGTTTTACCATCAAACAAAGAAAATGTTCTTTTTTCACTGTAAATATTTTGTAGAAAATGTAAATACATTTACAACCGATACCCCATAAAATACAGACAATGCCCTTTTTTTTTTCTTTTTTTTTTTACTGTGGACACTGGGTTATTGAACATATACTTGCCCCCTTTTAAAAAAAAAAAAAAAAAAAGTAAAGCCTAAAGCTGTGCAAATACTTTCTTTGTTACTTTACAAATGTATTTCTTAGATTGTAGTCTGAGAGTGAAATGACTTTGTGAGCTTGTGTTTTTCTGTCTGTATTCACTGCATCATTTCATGCAGAAGCTTAGCATCTTTTTTGCTGAAGTAGACTGCCAGTAAACTCACCATATATGTAATGTGTAAACTTCTCAGAAATAAACTATAGGGGAGTTTTGAAAAAGGATGCAGCAGACATTGCATCGAATATCTTGCAAAATAAAATGTGTACAGTTTAGTGAGGCAGGCAGGAGATTTACTGAGTCTGACTGTCACAGCTTCCATTATTATTATTGTTTAGACCATGAAAAGCAAGGGAAGAATATGTTTGGCAATAAGTGCACAGAGCTTCAGCATGTCAACCTTGTCCATCTTCCTTAATGGTCTGCATTACAGACACTTTGCATGGGATGAAAATGGAAAAGGAAGAGCCGACGTCGTAGACCTGTTGTCTCCTTGTCATTTGCATCATGAGGCACTAAGTGAGCTGATAGCAGTGAATGTAATGCTGGAGGTGCCATACGGGCCGCTGGGGAGCATTTCCATGTTTGGATAAGCCTGCAGAGGCAAATATGCAGAGAGACACGATCGCTGTGCAGACCTGCAGTCACTCTGAAGTGCTCTCTAGGAATTTAGAGCAGAGATTGTTGTGTTGCACTCAATAAGTTGTAATTTAGCATCTCCCACTGATACCAGAGCTCCGGGAGAAGTAGCAGGTTTTCTCCAGAGTTGATTTAATTTCACAAGTATCTGGATTTTCTGTGCCAAACTAATGGTATCATCCAGTGGCCTAAACCAGTTTTGTTTGCTGATAAAAGATTTTTGAGAACTTGCACAAGTGAGGAATTGATTCTGGTTCAGCTGATGTAAAGTGACTAAAGCTACGAATACCTAAAACTTCTTTTGTTGCCGAAGCAAAATCGTTTAGTCAAATTTTGCAGAGCCACAGCCTCAACAGACAATAGTTACAGATCAACAGGCTATTCATGCATGACTGTACACTCCCACGCCTCATTTATCTTTCACTGCCAGGAGGACGTTTTTAGAAAAAGCTCAATCAATCAAATCTCAATGAAAAGCCTCTTCTGTGAGTCCAAACAAGCACACGACTGACACGACACATACAGCAAATAGTTCATCAGGTCATCGCTACCTGATATGGTAAAGCCAACACAAGTGCCATTCTTCAAAACTAACTAAACAATCAGAGGTGTGACTTTGGAGCACATTGCTGTGGCCACCCCGGTGTGTTCATTAAAAGCTGCAGTCAAAGTGTTGTTGGATACCGCCTAGTTACTATTGTTGCAGGGGGACTGGGGAGGATCTGGGGAAAGATGGAAGGGACATCATGTACCTGGGCGCTGTGGCATCCCATATTCCAGAGGCAGAGCCCTGCTCAGGTTACTGCTGGTCATTGGAAACAATTGTACTTTATGAATCCCTCTTCCCTCACTGTGACTCGAGGAATGTTTTTCACAGATTTCACGAGAGAAATCTTCTAATCCCAAAGTTTTAATGGGGATCGTTGCCGAGGCTAACACATGTACACACAGGTATCCAGCTCAACCCTTGTCTGCTGTGTAACTTTGTGAAATGTTCAGTCAGTCTGATAAATGTCACGAGGCTGTCGGCTGTCAGTCTGTGTTCAGATATTTGCATAAGAGATGTCTCTTTGCATAGAGAATAAAGCTCACAATTACAATAATTTACATTCTCTAGGCAAAGGTTCAGCTGACAACTCGGTCATTTTGAAGAGACAATGTGGAGCCTGTTTAGGTGAAGATGTTAAGAAGAATCAAAGCTGAATCTAAAATATCCTAAATATTGGCCTTTTTGGGATGAATTTCCCCTATTAGCAGCCAAATATTTCAGTGGCGTTCAGACAAAACTGTCATTGTCCTGTCTCTGTGCTGTTTGTGACTCCAGCCTACCTTGCTCTGGAGCTGCAGCCTCTGAGGAGCTTGCTGCCGTCTCAGCGGTGCTGTCTGCCGCTGCTGCTGGTGTTTCCTCAGGTGCTGCTGCTGTTTCTGCTGCTGTTTCTGCTGCTGCTGCTGTTTCTGCAGGTGCTGCTGATTCTGCAGGTGCTGCTGTTTCTTCAGCTGGACTGGCTGCTGCAGGCTGAGACTCTGCTGCTTCTGGTGGATTTGCAGCAGTGCTGTCTGCAGATGTGGCAGCTGCTGCAGGCTCCTCTTTAGCATCACCGCCATCAGCAGGTGTCTGGTCTGGAATAGTTTCACTATCCTCAGCTACTTTGCCATTCTCATTGGCTGCCCCTGTTGGAACATGACACATTATTATTCAAACAATGTTTAAGCAGTTTATGGACAGTGAATAACAGTTTCTTACTGTGTACCATATTACACTGTAACAAACAATTAGACCTGAGAGAACAAGATCTTGAGATAAGATGAGAAACACTGTCAATAGTTAAAGTGTCCTGCAGTAGCAATTCCTCATGTGAAGCACAGGCCCTTTATGTTACAGTGTGAAGCTCTAGTTTATTTTCACTGGAGCAAACATCCCTGTAGTGACAGCTTATTTTGGGTTAAAGCTTTTTTCATATGTGCAACTGGGAATAAAAGTTCACATACACTGGTAAAGACCATGTACATCATTCTAATTCTAATTTTCTATGACGCAATGAAAAAAACAATTATGCATTTTCATTGTTTCATAGATTTATTGCAAGTCTTCTGGAAATATAACAAAATCTACTGGGTCAAAAATGTATGTACAGCAACTTGAATGATCAGTTTTGGTGATGTAAAAAGTTGTGTTAATCAAATTTTCTTTGTGGTGTGACCTCTTACCTTCTTGTAAGTGATTCTGATTGACTACAGTTGCTCAATTTTAATATTGCCCCTTAGACTTAGCCTCATTAGACTTAAAGCCACTTAGAGCCATTTTAAAGAAGACAGAGATCCCAAAATCATCTGTGCAAACAATTGTTTCCGCACATAAAGTGCATACAGTTGTGTTACTGCCACGATCGGGACAAAAACACAAACTGTCACTTGCTGCTGAGAGACAATTGGTCAGGATGGTGAAAAGTCAACCAAGAATCACAAAGACCATGTCTGCAATGAAGTAGAAGCTGCTGGAACACAGGTGTCAGTGTCCACAGTCAAGTGTGTTTTACATCATCATGGGCTGAGAGGCTGCAAGAAGGAAGCCCTTCCTCTAGAAGTGATATCTTAAGACTTGATTGAAGTTTGCTGTTGATCACATAAACGAAGAGAAGGCCTTCTAGAGAAAAGTTCTGTGGTCATATGAAACCAAAAACAAGCTATTTGGCCACAATGACCAGAAACATGTTTGGAGGAGAGAAGGTTAAGGACTTTAACCCCAAAACCACCAAACCTACAACCAAGCATGGTGGTGGCAGTATCATGCTCTGGGGTGTTTTGGTGCTTGACACAAAGTAAATGAAATAATGAAGATAAAGGATTACCTCCACATTCTTCAAGAAAACAACAACACACATCAAAGGTGGAAAGAAATTGCAAAATTGGGCTGGAGTTAAGGTTTTAAGCTGGCCTTTCCCCGAGTCTTTAACAAACTGAAAATCTGTAGACTGCGCTGAGGAAACAAGTCTGTGTCAGAAAGACAACTAATTTAGATGAACTGCACCAATCCTGTCAAGAGGAGGGTCAAAGATACGATCAGAAGCTTGTGGATGACTACCAGAAGCACCTAGCTGACCTGAAAATGGCTAAAGGATGTTTGGTCTTTATAATTGTATGTAAACTTTTGTTCACAACGATGTATCCTGCAATGTATCTGTAAGGTCATCCTAACATTTCCCAATTCACCTTATGGACATTTCAAGTCCTGGCAACACAGGACAGTGGCAGCACTTTCACTTGTGAATCACACACAGCATCAGAAAACAAGAACTACACATGAATCATAGATAGTTTTGTGACAGCAGTACCGGGCTCTCGGCTCACGCTTGCTTTAGTTTACTGTTTGTGTTGCCTCCATGATGGCAACAGAGTTGACTTAATTCAAAACCAAAGTGAAAGTTAATCTGTAACCAGTCCTCATTACTAATATGTTCTGGGTGCCAAGCAACACTGACTTGACTATTTCTATTTATTACATTTTTGACAATGAATGTTTGACTTTGTGCTATCTGGTGCAGAAACACAATCAGATTATTTTTAATGATAAGAATCAATGTTTACATTTTCATAATTTGAGAATGGAATTAATATGAAACAAAAATAATAATAATAAGATGATAGCAGATAGAAAATAACAAGAAGTATAAAAAGACTTCCAACATGTGAATTAAACTCCATTGACTTTGCACTGGACTAAACAAAGCTACCACTTTCATCCAAATGCAGAAGAGCAACATGTGAAAATCCCTGTGTTTGAGCAATAATTTCTACTCTGAATATTTGGGAAAATAAATGCTCTCAGGCAAAAAGTACAATAACAGCACAAATAGACCTCACACACAAATGGAACTATTGGGAGTTAATGGTGGATTGTTGTTAATGAACAGCCTCAGACAGCAACTCTACGAACAGGTTCCTGCGTCTTTATGGTGCGTTGCTTCCTTGTGGACTTTTCTTTGGAGTGATTTGCATCCTAGTTATTTGCATGGATCATAGAAGTCTTGACCCTCGGCCATCAGCATTCTCAAAGCTGGTTAAAGCAGAACGAATAAACAAAGTAAAGTAATCCTTTTCGTCTCTCTTGGTATCAAGGGCAGTAAACAAGCTGCATGCAAAAATAAGAAAACATCCTGGAAAATTTCCATCTGACCTCTAAGACGATGACGACAGGAAAACATCGCTGTTAAACTGAGAGTCTGAAGCTCTGCCGTCATCAGACAACGACTGAATTATGACTTTTTTATGAGCAAATCTCTTTTTCTACTGGGAGGTCAGAGGTCACGGTCAGCTACGGAAAAGGAGCATAAACACACTTTAGCGGGATCAGCGGTTGTTTCTCAGCTCTGTGTGTGTCTCCAGGCTCTCACTGCATTAATAAGGCGTGCAAAACAGACACTTGCTTAGAGGTGGTCCCTTTTGGTGAATCTTTTACAGATTTTTCAGCTTATTGTCTGAGTTGTGTCACAGAATGCTTAAGCGGGCAGCACTGAAGAGTCATAGTCCTCAAACACAACACAGATTTGGTTAAAGAACTACATTTGGGCTTCCTCCTTTTCCTTTCGCGCCGCAAAATACAAACAGAGGATCCAGTGTTGGTGTTTTACCTTGAAATGTGTGCTAGTTTGCACCACAACCTGGACCGTCTCTGACCCACTACAACAAAGGAGTGTCCAAAGTAGCTTCTCCATTTCCTATTGAAACCGTAGACTGTCACCAAATCTGCTTTTATGCCGCTGTCTCCCTCGGGGGAGGACAGGGCCAGAAGCCACTGTTAAATAATGACAATAAACTTTCTCATCCTGTCACTGTGCAGTTCTGTCTCATTAAAAATAAAGACGATGTGAGATACTGTACCCAGAGAAATGCGCTGGTCGTAATTTGCATTTAGACTGTGCCACCCTTATCAGAAGAGTATTCACTGCAGTATAATTAAATAGATGATGCAACTCTATATGGAGGCAGCAGTGAACTTCCAACATGACACCATGTCCACCAACATGTTACAAGGATATTTATAGCATCCCTTGAAATACAATAATTAATAGAAGTACTTTTCCATACAGAGAGTGTGTAAATGGTGCAAAACTAAAGGCTGCAGAATGTCAAAAAAAAATATTTAGATAGGACAGAATAATTTCCAGTGAAATTCTGACAACAAATCACTTTAACTGCTTTATTTTTTGTCTTTACATGATTGCAATGTTGATGTTAGTTGCAGTGGATGCCACTTGCCTCCAGGTAGAACACATTTTGTACAGATGTTATTTTTATCCTTTATACACAAGTGTGCAGGTTTTGTTGACTCACCTGTAGTGCTGGCTCCGTTGCTCTCCTCGGGCTTAGCACTGGGTCGAGTCGTATCCACCGCTGAAGTTTGGGAACTTGTGGAGCATCCCATCCTGCCCAGTGCGCACAGAGAACTGGATGAGTTCAGAGTTTACAGGTGAGGACAGGCTGCAGCTGCGCTGATGACGTCGTGCATATATATCGACTCTGTAAATGGAGAAATGCGAAACCCCTGGAGGAGAAACAAAAACACAGTCCGCGCGGTGAATTCCTCTAGTCCCGTGCGTAATTGCGCATCATGGCTTCAGGTCCTTGTGTTGTGGCGGCAGTTTTTCTAAACTCTTCGGTCACGCAGGTGAAATGTTGGCTTTTGTTGTGTGCTGTAACTTAGGCTGTTTCCATGAGGCTGGCGCAGGGACAAAAATACATTATTCAGTCAGTGTGCAGCGGCCACCTCTTGGGGCGGGGAAAGTGAACCAGGAGCGCCTTAAAACCTGACTGCCGATGTGCCCCTGAGCAAAGGGCAGCTTAAACAACAAAGACTCCGGTAGAACTGAGCCAAAATAGCCCACAAAATGCACCTAAGGACAGAGGAAGACAAAAATAGCGCACTATAAATATACTCCTTTGAGTCCTGCATTTATAATTGGTGTCTTGGCAGGAAACCTATTACTTTAAAATAGCTCAGTGATATCTGTTTAAAAAATGTAGTGGAGTAAAAAGAAGGTACAATCTCTGAAATCTGTGGACTAAAGTCACCTCAAACCTGTACTTAGTTTTCAATAAGATATACACCTAAAATTTCTGATCAGTTAAAAAGATTTGATTATAGATTAAACTACTCAACATGGTATAAAGATGTGACTACTAGTTCAGCCTGATCAAGTAAACATTAGACTATTTTAAAATTGTCATCCATAAGTGATATTTAAACACATAATAAAATAACCTCTGGATACAGCCTAATCTACACTTTTACTTTTAATTGTTTTTACCCTCATTCCTGACTGGGGTACATGAGGCCCTGGAGCGATACTATTCTCTCATCTCACAGGTGCTTCCTTCAATTAATCCAGTTTTTCATAACTTTGTAGATCGACTAAAATAGATCAATAGGTCTAAAATTGTGTGCATTCATATGACCA